TAAACTAACTTCAGCTTTAGCTTTATCAACGCGCATTGGGCATGCACACACGTCGGGTAGCGTCGTTGCCAGCAATAGTCGGGTACCGATATGTTTTCATCGATCCATTCAATGCAATGACGTCAGTGGTATGGCTCTGAAACGGAGTCTAGTTCCTTCCTCGGCTTATCGAAGATTTCACCAAAAGAGATCCAGACTACTTTCGCCAAACTTTCTTGCAAGTTGGGAGAATTTAGAAAACTTTAGAAGTGCACAGGTCCACTTGACTCGACTGACTGCGTGCATAAGGTTTTGAAACAAGATTTCCATAAAACTGTGCATTTGAAATGTAAAAATAAACCATAAACAATAATGGAAGTTATACAGAAAGTAAAACACACTAAAACATAAGGTTATATAGAATTTTAAAGCAACTAATCCAAAATACGAGATGGAAAAACGTGCAATAAACTTTTACGTATAGCCTAACTATGATTAGCGATGATTAATTAAAACTGCCAAGTGAGACGCTGCTGATTTCACGAACGGGTCTAGGTTTAATTATCCATTTGGATAGCAGTATCCAGCGTTGATGCCAGTCAAGCACTTTCGGCTGTATTTAAATTCCGTCACAATGAGTATTTTACCGGCGGTGGACCTTGGCATTTTGGAATTAACACTATTGAAGCGCTCCTTGGCTGTTTTTGTAATTAAAGATAAAATTTTAATACCGCGCCGCCACTTCATCAAAAGTGACCACAACGCCTGCCGGAAAAGAATGTTTCTTTTGGGCAACCATCTATTTCAGTTCTCTTTTTAGTCTTTGTATCTAGAAAAAAGGGGGGAAAGGCGTGTGTTTTTCTGACATATTTCGTGTCCTTGTGTACTGGTAAAGTACATCAAGAAAAACGGAATAAATGAAGCAGTTTTCAGCCCAGACGCGTACAGCGCTTCCCTGGACACTTTTTTGACCGTAGGAGATACGTCCTGATGACCTAATTCGTTCCGAGAAAGAAGTGTGCAGGCGCGAATTCAGGAAAGGGGGTTGCAGGGTCGAACCCCCCCCCCCCGCTCTGAGACAAAATAAAACGGTAAAAAACAATATGTCATTATCGTTTCCCGTTTGCGCTTATATGCAGTGCAAAAATGAGACATTTAAAATTTCAGGCCTGACAACCCTCCCCAAAGAAATCCTGGATCCGTCCCCGAGTACGGTTGCAGAACAGTAAAAGGATTGCCATAGAGAAGAGTGATAACTACTCTTACTTCATAAAATGAGGAAATACACGTTTCTAGGGTATTCAAGCCCCCATCAAATTAAAGCTCATTTCCTCATTTCCAACCTTAAACAATTACTTTGAAAGATATTTCTCTCCAGAGACAATCACCCTCAAAACAAAAGCCCATCTCCATTTTGAAAATTGCTGCCTACAGTCCATTGCAGAATTGAGCGATTTGGAGCGCCCCGTTTATTCCGATACTTTCAGAAATACAAGCCGGCAGTCCCGCTGGTAGATTCCATCCTCCTTTACAAACCATCCAGTCCAAATGGCAGAAAATTTGACAGGATGCACATCTTGAAAAAGCGTGCAGTAAATTTTAGGACTATTTACTTGCCTGAAACTACTGAGCTTGATGGCTTGATGCCAAGTATGAATAAAAAGGGACGCGCTTGTGGCGCTTCATCAAAAATTCTTTAAAACCCCGTTTACAGACACTAAAGCCCATAGCTCCACATTTCAAAAAGCCTTCCATTTTATTCCAACAGGTGCTAGGTTGTTCGGTTCTATCCCAAAATTCATCAGCAGTTTATAGGAATTTCCGAAGTATTGTAAGGGATTACTGATTAATTAATTAATTCTGTTTTTAAACATGTTACTTTTGTAATAGTTATTGTCTTGCAAAACCAGAGAACAGGCAAATTGAACGCTGAGTACAAAAAACACTGCAAAGACAATTGGAAGTTCTGCTGCGTGCTTTAAAAGCAAATTTTAATCTGTGTCAAATAGTTCAGCTAATAGTTAAGCTGATCAATGATTCATTGGTGCTACTGTTATAGTTATAGAATAACTGTCAAGGATGGAAATACTCTACTTATATTCCCACGCATCATCGGTTGTTAAAGAAAACTCACAGTACTAGCAGTCCATTCAGGTGTCATTCAGGTGAATGGAGAACTACTTAAAAACCTCTATTTTAATTTGCTTGCAACTCTTTATAGTGTTGCAATTACACAGGAAGGACGAGGGTACAGGAATTATACTTGGATTCCAGCTTTCCTGAATATGACTAGAAGTGGCAAGGTTTTGACGATTTTCTTGTTCTATTTTGCAATGTATAGGTAAAACAACCATGAGCAATAACATGTATATTGTGCAGATATCCCCAAAACGAGCTGGGTTGGATTGGAGTCACACTTCTGTGATTTCCATGTTGATATATTTTGCAATGCATGGAAATGTCAAAATACCTGAGTAACTGTTGAAAAAAAAACGGCAGAACTGAGTTGTCTTGGCAAACTCAAGCTATCTGAGTAACTTAGAATTATAAATCTCACAAACGTCTGAAAACGAAAAACAAAATCATCAAAATCAAACTGCAGGGAAGTTGTATAAAAAATCTCAATTCATCCCTCTGAAAGAGGAAAAAAATCACTCATGGCACGCAAAATTCTGAAGTAATTATGCCTCACAAATAACTCCTGCATTCTCTCTACAGTAAAGTTACACCTTCAAGTAAACTTAGTTGAAGATGTGGAAGACCTTGACTGGTTTTGCAGAGGGGTAAAGAGACTAGCAAGTCTCAAGCTACTGTAATTGGGATGCAACACCAGAAAGCCAACATCTGTCGGAGCCAATACAAATCTCTTACATATCTTGAGAGGAATACCAACAGAATGTTTGGGGGGCAATGTAAATTAATCAGAACTTTTGTGACACTTGTGTCAATATCTTAAGAGGTAATTTTTTTGTCTGGCCAAAAATAGGATGGACGGATTAACAGTACCATGGACAGATAACACTGAGGGACGGAAACATTTTGAATAAACTGGTTCAGAAACTTCTCATTGAAAACAGAAAAATCTGACGTCGAGTTTGCCCTGATTACGTTCAGTACCTATGGGAGCTGAAGTTGCCATATATGTAATCTTTAACAATTCCACAAGTGCATAACCTCAGATATGCTCTGGTAACTTTCTTCACAGTTTGACTACTGCGATAAGTGATGCAGATTCACAGAGCAAGAAAAACAAATATGTTAATTAACGTCATGAAAACAGGAATATCCTCCCAGGGAAATTTCGTGTGCAAATCTATCAAGGTAACAGTAATACTGCAAAATCATCTCCTAAAAAGGATCCAAAAATGTCTCAAAATTTTGTCCTTGTTACAAATTCCAACCTCTCAAATTCTAGCTCACAATAAAGCAAAAAACAAAACCACACATTCACAGCACTGCAAACACAATTCACTACACTCAAGGGATAAAAGGTGAATTTCAAGCTGCCTCCATGTCATCTCTCAGCCTCCATACATGGTCAAGTCAGGTCAAGAAATGTTCGGTACGGCAGAATTACTTTGGCTCATAGGGTGGAGGGCTGCCGCTTGGAATGGTGTCACTGCCCACTTCATACACGCCTTTTGCACCTGCATTGGAGAAGAAAAATGAAGAAGAAACATTTGACTAGGGGTGACTACGTATCAACACTATAGTATAACACTAATATTATAACACTATAGTACCTTAAACTGAGCTTTATCAACAGCACTGTGGGAGATTATATTACTTTACAAAAGGTCAGGAATATCATGTAAGAGTGAATCACAGAAGTCCAATTTCACATTAAACTAAAAAAAAATTCTGACTTAATATAACTATGGTGTGAGTCGATCCGGTTAGGGTTCATTTTTCCAGTTTAAATTTGCTTTTTTTTACCTGGGATGTTGCTTCCAACTTGAAAATCTTCAGGATTCACTCTCGGCTGCATGGTAAAGGAGGTGCAGGGCCGCTCATCATCACTAGAGGAAGAATCCGGCCTGACCTTAGTGAATGATCTAGGGAGACAAGTTGGAATGGAAAGAAACTTGTGGTATTCATATAAAAGTCATGTCGTCTTATGTTCCTGTCTGCCTAAAAGGACGTTTCTACTTCAGCGGTTATTCCCCAAACCTTCCCGATCCATCAGGAGCAACACTTTTAGAGCATAATGCACCTCAACAGCTTCTTAGTGTTCAAAACTGTTGTAGTATCAGAAATGAACCTACTTCACTTTGACCATGCAGACGATGGCGATGATTGCGACCACCAGGATTGCAAGAAGGGCAGTCACACTGATGACCACGACTAATGGGACGGCGGGAGGATCTGGAGGTACAGTGGGCTGGATGGTACTGGTCATCACTGATACTGAACTGGTATCAACGATGGGAGTCGTCGGCTCTGAACAGTAACACAACACAAAATAGAGGCATGCGTGTACAGTTTATCATAACGAGACAATTCTTGCCTCCTATTTCGCAAGTATAAACAGAAATTTCCACGGGAAAAAAGAAAGTACTGAAAGTCAGTGACTCACCAAAACATTCACTGATGTAGATGGCACCGTGCCCATTGGTAACCCTATGGTCAGGACACATGACGCAAGCTGTCTGACCGACCTGATTTTGGTAGGTGTTGACTGGACAAGGTCGACACTCGTAATCTCTCTCTGCATTGGCTGACGTGGTCTGGAAGGTTCCCTGACCACACAATACTGGAAAGGTGTAGATCATCACAATAGAAATAATAAGACAGCATCTATCGTTATTTAACTACGCAGAGCACTGGATTATTTTACAACCCTTTTTTTCAAGATGGTGTGAATGAAACTCAACCATCACAAGTGTATAGTCGTGCATGTCAAGGAAAGACATCGGGACTACTAACTGTTTTTCATCATGTACAATCCAATGGATTCAAATGCACATCATGAAAACAGTAAACAGAGGGAGTAACATCGGTTTGTGTACTTCTTGATCGCCTGTACTAAACTTTAACAAGTCGCACATGAATCTTATTTTGCAAATGATTCCACCAAAAGTGTTAACCCCCAAAAATCTCCAAAACAAACACAGGATTCTTGAAAAATCTGGAAATCCGGAAAATTCGGGGGAATCTCACCCCTGATCCATAGAAGTTGTGGACTCTCATATGCGCCTCGGTGTAAATTTTCCTTCTAGACTTAACCTTGTCCAAACATATTCAAATAGTTCATTCTAAATATTTTCAATTATCAGGTTTCATTTGCCTACAGTTGAATAAAAAAAATCGGGTAGTTCTTTGGAAACTTTTCTGTTCACTCTGCAGGCCAGTTCTAAAATACGGTGCTCCTATTTGGCTTCTCTATCAGAAGCCGTACTAGGATGTTTGACTAGATCCTGCCTCCCCTTTAATACATCCAATTGCCCTATCATAGAAACCAACATCTCTCTAAACGTCACCTTTCTGACATCCAGCCTTGTTGTCAAATATCTTTGGGAGCTGTTCGCTTTCATCTTTTCTGTGTGTCGTTTTCTTGGATTGTACATTCTTTATCTTTTTTTCTATTCACTGTGTCTGGTTGCTTTAATTTGTACATTATAATTCCCAAGAAATAAAGTAAATATAGACGTCAGAGCTATTTATAAAATAATAAATCAACAGACAAATTACCGTTCCACATACAATGATTGCTCCAAATGCTCCAAATTGGAGATACGAGCTAATTCCCTACTTACGGTAACAATCTGTTTTGTGGGTTGCGCCGGTCTTGTTGGTAACCAAACCGTCTGGGCAGGGCAGACAGTAATCTACACCATCCCCTGGGTTGTACCAATTAAGAGGACACGGCTCACAGGACATGTCCTCAGTGATGTCACTCACCACGTGGTATTCCCCTGCACCGCACTGTTCTAAAAAAGTTTTTTGTAAATCAGAGAGAGTACACATCTGATTTAAAAGTTGAACGTCCCTTTGGCATCAGTATGTGCGATAAGAACAAGCACTTGTCAGAAATTCTTAGTTCAAAATGCATCTTAAAATTAAAATTTCTGATATCACATCTGCCATAACTTTGTAAATGAAAGGCTGTTACAATCAAGCTCACAGTGACAAAAGTCAATTTACTGGATCGCAGCATCCATGGCAACAATAGCCCACGTTTGATATCACTCCCTACCACTTTGTAAGCCTAAAAGCACTGAACCCTCCAACTGTAGGCAGATTCAGAACTGCAAAGGAATTTAGGCATTGTACAGAGAGGTTTTAATGTGTCGGAATGTTGCCTAGAGCAAAATCATATCTAACACTGGCTTCTGTGCACTGAGCATTAAGTCCAAGGAGTGAGGCATTAGACGGAGTAAAAAAAGTTTAGTGACCCTGCCTGTTTCCTTTTTGGGGCTGTGTCAATTTTATCATTTTGGGGGGGGGGGAAAGTTCTTTAAAGAAAGTTAAAATGCTAACTGATTGACACCAAAAGCAAGCTGCAAATTCTCAATGTGTTTAATTCTCTTGTCCCATATATCTTTTCCATTTTTTTTGCCTTTGAACAGTGGAAAACCAACAGTTGACACAATTTTTAAAAAGAACTGTGGCCATTTTGAAATTAAAAAACTGGATGCTAAACCTTTTGTTACTTACAATTGGTTCAACAAACACTTGGATATACGGCTGGATGCTTTTTTCAATTGCAAAAAAAAGGGGAAAAAGATTGATAAACTACACAAAGCATTTTGGGGGGGGGGGGGAGAAAGCAGGGAGAAATCTCACCATGGCATTCACTGACGTCACTGGCGCCATGACCGTTGGTAACCAAGCCATAGGGACACATGATGCAAGCTGTCTGACCAGCCTGGTCTTGGTAAGTGTTAACTGGACAAGGTCGACATTCGTACTCCCCTTCTACATCAGCTGACATGGTATGGAAGGTTCCCTGACCACAGTAGACTATCAGTGAAAGAGAGTATAGATATCGTGATTGATATTTTGTTGTTGTGCACCAGACTACTGTTCCAGGCTGTTGGTCACACTTTTTTTGTGGACTTTATTTTTTTTTAGTTTAACCGGGTGGGCAACAAGAAATCCTTCTCGTTGAACAGTAGGGAAGGGTGTTCACAAGCAGCTTTCAATTTATCATTCTCTATTGCCTCTGAGCATGATCTGCAGAGGGCGCCAAGCTTGCAACCAAACGATGACACAAAATTTACGGCCACTTTCATATGATATGTCCGTTATTACACTTTTTCTTGTCACATATTCATGTACTTCAGAATCAATTGACACTGAAAAAAATGTGAACAATTAGGCCAGGGAAAGGGACCAGCCTATCAAGAATTGACAGCTCTTGTCTTGCCGGTTTGCGTAGAGTATGATTATTGTTCAAGAATCACTGCACATGTGCACTACGTAGTAATAGCAATCTCACACATCTCCTCACAGAGCCCATACTCACTGCAAGGCCCCCCCTGACTCGTGACAGTTCCTTCTGGACACAAGCCCCACTCATCCTCTTCCAATGACTCAAGATCAGGTCGTACAACCTCCCCACTTATGGTCACCGTGAATTCGCCAGACTTTATGAGGTCAACTAGACTTTGCGCAGCCTGGCTTAATTCATCACTGTCTGTAAATTGGAAATGAGAGAACAAAAACAGAGCTCAGGTTGACTATAAGAATTTCTATATATTCCAGGTCTGGCCTCATCTCTAGAAATGAAGTGAGATCAAAAGTGGCAGGAACTTCAACATGATCACAGTCTTGAAAAAGTAGACAAGAGAGAGTAAGCCTCAGTGTCTTACAGCTAATGTAGTAACTGGCAACATTTCTAAGAACAAATTTGCTATCAAAAGTTACTTGAATAATGGGCACAGAGTGTCATAACTCCGCATCACAGACCTGCTGTGCCATTCTCAGCAGTGCTGGTTTCGTTTGAGAAGAATGAAATTGAGACGTCTACGCGGCTGGCTGCCTGTCTGGCGATGCGACCACTTCCAGCCCTTCCTTGGCTGCAACTGCCAACCTGGAGTCATCAACGGTAAAACAAACAAGCGCATGTGTAGGTGATGAGAAACGAGCACAAAAAATTAAGTAATTACTTAAGACCTTCACAAAGCCACAAAAGACCAACACATGACCTCCAGTCTGAATTCAAGTTACAAGCTATTCAAATGAACTGCAACAAAAGCATTCCTTTGTCATTGCTTACCCTGTGACTTGTGCATGGTCTTGTGTCTGGTCTTGTGTCTGTTTTTGTGTCTGGTCTTGTGTCTGTTCTTGTGAGTTTGTTTCTGCATTCAATTGGGGACCCTGAACAATAGAGGACAATAAGGTCCCTGATTGACAGAGGGTCCCCAATTGACAACTGTGTACAAAACATATGGATGGTCTTCTAAAAAAGTTAAAGTACAAACAAAAGAGGAACAATAAGGGGTCCCCGGTTGCAGGCAAATACACACTTGTGTGTGTGATCTTGTGTCTGATCTTGTGTCTGTTCTTGTGTCTGGTCTTGTGTCTGGTCTTGTGTCTGGTCTTGTGTCTGGTCTTGTGTCTGGTCTTGTGTCTGGTCTTGTACATGTTCTTGTGTCTGGACTTGTGATGGTCTCAACTACAACACTGATCAAATGATATTATTTTCATCAGCCTCTCATGACAAACTGTGCAAGTTGAAATGAGCGGTAAGCATCCAGTTACAAAATAATTCCTGGATTATCCAAACAAACCAGTCACTGACGAGGTGTTCTGTTAGCGTCGCTTGATATTTAGTAACAAGAATGCAAGATGTGTTCATGTCTCTTAGCTACGTCATGCTGGTCTCTGGTGAGGGTGCATGCAGAGGTCTCACTGGAATATAACCTGCCTCCTGATGTTCCGAGTTGCATTTTGGAATACGCACAAATGCTACTCAATGTGTGATTGCACTCACTGTAACCTCTGCCCTGCAGGTCTCTCTCACTATGCAGGATTGTTGCTTGATGACTGCACTTTGAGTGACAGCTTTCTTGATGTCCTCCTTTGCACTTGGGGAGTCACAGTCAGTTGACAGCAAGGAAATGAGGACATGTTTGACTCTCCCAGAATACGGCTGTATTTCTTCAAGATTGAAAAAAAAGACCAGAGTTAATGGCTTCCAATGGCTACCACATGGAAACCAGGATCTAAATTTGGGACTGCAAAACTATTAATTTAAAGGATATGTTTTTAAAATGATAAACTTGATCGGTTTAGTGCTTTTCAGTGGGTACTCATATTTCATTTCTTTTATAACTTGCTACATTCCATTGAACATTGCTCCTGTTAAAAATGAAGGGAGTCTGATCGGGCCAACTCACTGACACACGGAGGAAATCTTGCATAGGTATTGTTTTCAGTCTGGTGACTCCAGGAATACTTGCTGCTTGGCCCGCAATGGTAGACTTCTACAATGTCTCTTCCAAAGGCGTACCCCTTGCGACAGGAGATTCTGCAGAATTTTTCCCCGTCTGCTGTCTCGTTGCAATCCAGCTCCCCTCGATAAGGACGCCGTAACGCTCTGCAAGCTGTAAGGGCAAAATGGACATTGCAGTCTGCTTGATTCATGCTTGAAGGTAAAAAAATACTGATCACAACATGCAAACTGTTTAGAAACCTGTTATCTCTTTACAACTGATGTTTGCTTCCAGTCTGGTAGAAGAGACCAGAAGACCAGACACAAGACCAGACACAAGACCAGATACAAGACCAGACACAAGATCAGACAAAAGACCAGACACAAGACCAGATACAAGACCAGTCACAAGACCAGATACAAGACCAGTCACAAGACCAGATACAAGACCAGACACAAGACCAGATACAAGACCAGTCACAAGACCAGATACAAGACCAAACACAAGACCATTCACAAGACCAGTCACAAGATTGCGTGTTGGTCTTGTGAAGGTCTTAGGTTTTCTCGACGACAACACTGTGTGCTACGCTGCTCCTTGTGCAATTGTGCAAAACCTAACACTTTTATTTCAAATGCCTCATAATCCAGCACAAACAATGATGTTTACGCCTGAAAACTATACATGATAAAGGTGAACAAAAACAGCTGTGTTACTTGTCACTGGAACCAACTTGGAAATTCAAAAAGAACTCTTATCTTTTTATTTTAAAAATCAATACAACATAAAACCCTATGATTCCACACCCAAGCCTAATTTTTCTGTACACTGTCTGATGTTGTTACTTTTTAATTTGACCCAGTTTGATTTGTTTGTTTAGTGTGATGAAAATTGAAAAATGCAACTACATTTTTCTGGCCCAAGAAAAACAATTTGATAGGTCTGTCTACCTGGGCACTTTACAATGTTGCACTCTTGCATCTGATAGGCCTCTCCTGGGCACGGCCGCCCCCCATTGACTGGCTGGGGGTTGTCACAAGAGCGTGAACGATGCCGTTCCCCACCTCCACAAGTTTTGGTGCATTCGCTGAAGGGTTGCCATGGACCCCAGTTCCCATTCACTGAAAAGCGTGACAGAGACATTTTGAGTACTGTCACAAATCGCAGATTCACTAAGATGCCAACATCATGACGATCAGTCTAGGGAGAGTCTTGGCTCAAACTGACCCGACTGCTTCTCGGTCAGGAACTTCTTTGGCAGTTCAAAATTTGGGCAAGCATTACATGTTTATGTTATAATGATAACAATAACAAAACACTTATAAAACGCCCTCTATCTAGTAAACTATTCCGAGACGCTGTATTATCATTATCCCTGCACATTGGGCTCACACATCTTATAGTAATAATAACAACGAATATTTGTACTGCGCCGGTATCCGCCTCGAGAGATGCTCATGGTGCAATACAATCAAGAAAACGAAAAAAAAATTAAATAATCTAATAACTGTTAATGAAGAAGTGGGATTTCAAGGCAACTTTGAAATTGAAGGGATAGAACGAATATTAAACGGTAGTTCATTCCAGAGACAGGGGCTAGCATTGGAAAATGAAAAGTATGAGGAACAGAAAGCGAGAAGGAATCGGACGATCTTAAACACCTAGGAGGGGTTGTACATTGTGAACAAGTTGACATTGTATTGGGGAGTGGAAAACCAGTAATACTCGAGAGAGAGTGTAATGAATGTAAAATGGGAGCAATGTGAGCTCTAGAACTGACATCATTTGAACATTCCTGAAAACCATCTCAGCTCCCTGGGGAGTACACTAGCCCAGTGTTGCCATTTCGGCGCAAACGGCTTCACATAACCGTGTCTGCCCTCAAAGGTACCCATTTACTCCTGGGTGGAGAGAGGCACGTAGGGGTAAAGTGACTTGCCAAGGATCGCAACTTCCTGCCACCAGTTGGATTCAAACCCCTGACCCTATGATCAGAAGCTACAAACCATAACCACTAGGCCACATGCCTCTCAAATCTCTGGCAAATTACCATAAAACAAACAACTGCACCAATTTTTGGCTATGCATCACAAAAACATACCTCAGATCACAAACGTGATTTTGACCATAATCTTCTCCTTTCTGATGGAGGGTTATGCAATCACATAAGGAGCACACAAATACATGCATGATTGTTACTAAACAATCTTTGAAAAAAGAAGATTTGGGATTTTTGAGCAGGCTATAGTATATAACAGCACTAATACGGGGCCTTAACAACCTTAATTCAGGTGACTTGTTTTCCCGAGAGTATGAACAACTACAGTTTGAAAATCATACCTGTTTCTAGTTCACAGTGTGTACCATTATATCCGATTGGGCAAACGCAAGTGTGGGCTAGGTTTTCACTGTAACAAGTTGCACTGTTCAGACAGGAATACGGTTGACAGTAGTCTGTGCTGGTCTGGCATCGGTCTCCTTCTAATCCCTCCGGGCAGTGACAAACAAATGTCCCAAGTAGGTCTTCACATGTACCAGCCTCACATGGGTTGGAGGAACACTCATCAAAATCTGTCAAATTCAATTGATTGGTGAATAAACGGGGAACATTATTCAATTAACTCTGACTTAAGTCAACAAAACAATAAACAGTAGCTACCATACTAATTGGGCCAACTGGGAACAGCTAACTATGACTATACTAACCATCACATTGGGAGGGCACCCTCAATGTCTGGGTAACGGCAGGACTTGGTGTGATCATTATATTGCTCCAGGCAAACACATCAGCAGGGGATACTGGTCTGCATGAAGACGCAATGTCTGGCACCTCAGCTTCACCCCATGCCCTGCTCCATATGTTCACCCCACTCAGCGCCAACTCAGATGATCCAGTGGGCACTGACCAAACATAAAAATTAGACGTTACAAATTATTCCACGTAATCCATCTCTTGAGACAGAAGAGCATGCTAGACTTTTCTGTACCTTTGGCCAATGACTTTATTCATCTTAGAAGACTACAGTCAGAGGGGAAGGGGATTCACCCCAACCCACCAAAAACTCAGTTGTCATGTTTAGAAATTCAGCATGCATGTAAAGACACTTATTATCAGTATAAATATGAAGTTTCAAATTAATATGGCAAAGGGTTTGGATGTTATGGTCAGCTGAAATTCAAGGCTTCTTGGGTAATTTGGCACAGGTGCATTGAGCTTACAAATGAAACAAGGATGGATTTTGGGCAGATAAATTTCTGTAAATCATGCTTTGCGCAAAACTGATTTTTTTTTCCCTTTCCCAGCTCTCTTCGAGTTTAAATAGAGACAAATTTTGTAGCTTCTGTGTGATTCTGCAATCTACAGCCAAGTGATTTAGACAAGACCTTCTCATACGACATTTTAAACAGCACCTAAATCAGTCACAAATGCGACCAAAATGTTGCTAATGCGATCATATTTTCACCATCCAGTCGCCATTTGCGACTTAAAGATAGCTTAAAAACTACATACAAATGTATTTGAACAATTTTGAGTATGCTAAAAATCAAAAAAGCAATGACTAGGCCTATGTACTCAAAGTTTGTACTGGAAAAGTAGAAATGGCAGCACAAGTCACATCGAGTTGCACCGAGTGCGCTGTATGTGTACATATACAGTACTTTACATGTACATGTGTCGCGATCACGCGCACGGTTTGGTTGGTTCCAGATCTAAACATACGTTGTTGATGCACTGTATACAGATACCACAGCCATTTTACAAACCACGGCATGGCATGGGCTCCATTTTTTGCTGCTTTTTTGCTGCAACGTAAATGACACATGAAACAGAGCTCATGCCGGAATTAAAGGGTGTCGCTGTGATTTTGAGTGCCAGAAATAGCACAATTCATGCAGCAGGGCCGGATGTCCTGAGACACACTGAAACTACAGACATCAGAACCTCCGTGGCTGAACCCTTGGTGAAAACCCTGATTTCGTGGATTGACCTCATTGGCGCTTGTATGCAAGTTGTGTGGTGGACATTCTTCGGCATGGATGGACGATGTAAACGCAGGGAATTTATACTGCATATGTATATCTACGTTCATGAATATTCAGCACACATGATTACTAAATTTACATAAAAGTGCTGGTGCCTAGATTTCTCCTATTAGGAGCCAATGGCTACCAAATACTGTTTTTCTGTTTCAAGGTTTGTTCACATACCATTCCAACCGGCTGAAGGTCCCAGACTAAGCACCAGTCCGTGAGGCATTATTAATGTGGAGTTCCTTGAAGTGCCGTGGGACACCACCGAACGATCAACGTATAACCTCCATTCTTGGCTGCCATTGAGCGAGTGCCAAGTCAACAGCACGTTATGCCAATGGCTGTCACAGAGGTTGGGTGAACCTCCAATGTCAGTTTCAAGACTGCAGTGATATAATTTTCAATACGAGCATTAAACTTTGGTTATATCAGGGGCCAATTTAATAGAACTGCTTAAGCACAAAATTTGCTAAAGTGCAAGAAAACCTTACTTAATAAATCAGATAACCGGCCAAAACTCAATGTGATGTATATTGTTTTGGAATGGTATTCAGCTGTCTTTTGGTTAGCATGACAATCACAGAGTTTGAGATGGTAACCTTTTTAAGCAAAGTATTTTCGCGTTTAAGCAGATTTTGTGCTGAAGCAGCTCCATGAAATAGGCTCCAGCTGCAGGTGCGATAACTATCACTGGCCAGTACAACACACATGTTGTCTGTATAGCTTCTAGGTTGGCCAAATAACTTCCACCAAGATATTCTGCATGCCTGATATCTTGACTACAATCTCAACCAATTGAATGGCATAACTGCAAGGAGCATTCTTCAAGAAATATTGGAGGATTTTGAAGGATTGGGGCCGAATAGAAGTTCCTCCATGGATAATCGGTGGATTTTGAAGGATTGAGGAGGGCGTCTAGCAAAAAGGTCCAGGGGGCTAGGGCTAAGGAACTCCTTCTTAAGGAAACAGATGGCTACGTCCTCTTTTGATGGCTATGACAGAATTAAGGTGTTCCCGTTTGATATGGGCTACCAACTCAGGGGAAGGGCTGTTGACTGAGAATTTAATTACTTCAGGTCTTTACTTATCTTCTGATTAACATCTTGTGCATGCACTGATGAAACTTACCCCAGGATGTTAAATTTTAGTTCGCTGGGGTGACTCAACTTGATGGCCGTCCCAGCAGGTGTGGACAGCTTCAGAAGGATAAAATCACCATGGCAACGCTGGGATCTGACCCACAATGAGGCGGAGAGAGCCTCGAGGTCACGAGAGGTCAAGCTTGATGTCTGGATGAGATGAGATCCAGCAGACTGGTTCCAAAAATGGATGTCAAAATCAGTTGGCAATACTGCAGTAGGATAAGAAATAGATTGCACCGATATTGAATTCTTTCATTCTGGAAGGAAAGTGTGGAAAAACAATGCTATCTGGCTAAATAAGGGAAGAAATGTGCTTGACCGGTCTTAAACGTGCGTTAAAGGCAGGCTCAGGAGAATGGACGCGACTAATGCCCAAGTCGCAGGCGAGGGTATTATCAGCATTCGTTCTCTGAGCAAGGTCTTAGACTGGCCAAGCACATATTTATTCCTATTCATAAATACCTTTTATTCCACAAATGCTTCTGAAGAATGGTACTGGTACTTTAGTACCTGGTAGCAAAGTGCCAGTACTCTAAAGTCCTAAAGTACCTACTGAAGTACCTGGTACAAAAACTAAAGCAGTCTGCATCAGATTATTTTCAAACTTATTCTCTCCATTTTTTGTTTAAGATGAGTTGTACCATTCAGTATTATGCTCATATAAGCATTACCTATCACATCTTGTACAAAATGCATGTTAGTTTCTTTCCAATCTACAGTCATTCTGTTAGAATAAACTGAGTACCGGTTTCGCAGTGGTCTCCCATGAACCCTGGTAAGCAGATGCACTGGTAACCATAAACTTGGTCTATGCACGACGCTTGATGCAGACACGGCTCACTGCTACACTCATCCACATTCAGGTCACACAACTCACCGCTGAGAGAGGGAAAACATCCTATTAATTTTATTGGCTTTTCTAGTCTGATATTTGATCCAATTGGCAAGGCTGTGGAGTTAATAACTGTGATCACTTCCCATATTAGAATATTGACTGGGTGAGACTGAGGGGGCAGATTTTCTTTTTACGTGCCCACTTCAAGAGAAGAAAGCGTACTTGGTCCACAGATCCTTAACATCAGTGACACCCTCCTCCCTTGACTCTGTGGCATTCCCAGACTTTTCTGAAGGGGGCCTAAAGGGATGCGTAGCTGTTCCAGTCGGTACTGTGGATAACTCTTTCAAAAACCTTGTCAATCAGGTCTATGCCCACACTAATATGAGCATATCAGCACACTACAGATGGCCTGGCAAAAGCACCCATCCAAAAAAAATTGCACTCTTCCGGATGTTAGAGTTCCTAGGAGAGCCCCCCTCTCCCCGCCACTGCCTTGAATGGACCTGTTTGCAGAATAATCTGAAGATCAACTGATAATTTGATATTTTGTGGCAATAATCATATTTGTAACATTTTCAAAGTGTTAAAAATTTATTCCAGCACCTTGTTGAAGAGGCTTTTGCCAATCAGAGATGGACGGTTGTCACATCAACAACTCAGCAGTAAAATTCTGACGACATTACAGTTTCCTAGACCCAGCAAGCAGGTCCACCGAGAAGTAAGTCCATTAAAGGAACAGCCCAGTTAAGAGCTACTTATGTATGCCGAGTGTAGTCTTGTGAACATACCTGTAACCAGCAGGGCAAGTACACGAGAAGCCGCCGGGCATCGGAGAGCAGATGGCCCCGTTACTGCAAGGGATGCCCAAGCAGAGATTCATCTGAACCTCACACCGTGGCCCAGCAAACCCTGAAAATTGGGTCCAAAAATTTACAAAATCTTATAAATGGGCAGCAGAGAATGTGTACTAGAGTACAATCCCTGAGGCAAAACAACCTAACTTGAAAAACTGCAAGTAGAGAAATTCCAACTTAACACAAAATGACGTAAATCAATTTAACGCTCGAGCAGTTGCTGGGGGTAGGACTTGGGTTGTGGTAAATGGTACATTTCACTTTCCTTGTCTTTGTTATTTTGTTGCTCATTGATGTGTTTTGCTATCTAATAATGTCTAGAAATATCTGTATCTAAAAAACCCCACATTTAGACTCTTATACACTTTATCACAAAAGGTCAACCACTGTGTTTTATTCTGGAAGTTGTGGTTGGGAACAAGCAGAGATCTCTGCTCTTGTTGGCTCTTTTTTTAACTTAGCTTCCAGGCACACAGTCAAATATTGTCGAGGCTTCTCTCGGATGAAAATGTTTCAAGCATCAACGTTAGAGCGGGTGTGATGAACGTTCGCTTTTCTTACCAGTTGGGCATTCACAGGAGAATGCTGCTATCCCATCCATACAGGTACCTCCATTCTGACAGGGGTCGGAGTGGCACTGGTTGATTTTATCTTCACAATACTGTCCTCTGTATCCTTCGGAGCAAAGGCACTCAAAGCCAGCCAGCTGAAGTCAGTAAACAGGGCCAAAAGAGTGGGGGGAGTTGTTACATTTCTAGGAAGAGAGAACTGATCTTACAATTTCCAGGGGCACGCTGAATGTTCTCATTTTTCTTTGGCCATTTTTAAAAGGAAAACCACTTTCAAGTACCATGGACAGATAATATGTGGGTGGGTGGTGCATTCACGTAACAAAATTAAAAGCAAGTAGTGAAATGCATCTCAATATTAAACCTCAATATTTAATGTTTAAAGATGGTGTACACCATTGGTTTTTTTGTCGTAATTTCACAAGATTGGCTGATTACGGTGTGTGATATTCACTGCAACTTACATTCCACTCCCTTGTTTCATGATTGAGTCAACTGCTTTGTGAAAAATCAAGAAAAACAGCGCGGCATTTTCAATGCTTACATTGAAGGTCTCGTAGTTTATCTTGCGTAAAATCTATGGACTATAGGGCATTTGTAGTACAAGCGAACATCATCTGTGGAGTCCGGATGGGAAACAAGCATGACAGGTTCTCATTCCCTTAAAGAAAGGAGCAGTTTTCAATGGCTAGAAGTAATCAGTGAATTTATCTTGGAGTAATGTGCCTCGACAATGTAGCATTACGGATTCATGGAAAAACTTCATCCTAGGACAGAGCAGTCGACTCATGTCTGTGACATCGAAACGAGTAGGCCTATATGATAATGCACATGCACGCGATCGTGTTTATAACAGCACTTTCATGTCAGTTTACACGTCGATGAAAGTCTAAAACTCCATTCACAGTTGAGTCCTTAATAATTTTGAGTAAAAAAGAGTTATGTCTTAAAACAAGGGAGGACTAACGTGTGGAAATTGTACTTTTTGTTGACGAAATCATTGTGCTCGGAAACAGCCGTCATATGGATCACACCATTATTATCTAGGGGTGATTTTGAATTCACAAAGTTTTTCATTAAAAAAACCTTTCCCTAAATAAAATTCAACTTCACACAGATCCAATTCATTTCCTACTTTACACCTAACACTCAGGTTTCTATAATTTCAGTTCACAGTGTTTTTGGTGAAAGAATGTCAGTATATTTTTAGCTGCTTTTAGGTTTATCCGTTCATTACTGGAGACTCCCACTACATCTGCAAACACCACATATAAGAAATCTGGATGTGAAATTAACTCTATTACGATGGTCAGCCAACCATCGTGCAAGAAAAGAACAAAATTTTTGTTTTTCTCGAAAACTACAGCATTCTGGGTGGAAATATTTTACAGACTGATTGAGACTGTTGTGTACTTTCTTTCAAGCAAGATATTTCAGGATTATACGGTAGTCCGATTTTCGGGATTTTACCAATGGTGTACACCACTTTTAACCACTGCGCAGTATAGGCAAATCAAACCTGCAAAGACATCCTGGCAATTCCAATTTAAATTACATCTTCATATTTCACACCTTATCAACACAAGTCCCACCGTGCTGACACTCAACGTTGAGTACTTGACACTCGTTGATCTCCTCTTCACAATTGACTCCGCTGTAGCCAGGTGAGCAGCGACAGACGTAGGCGTTGAGCTGATCCTCACACTCACTGCCGTGCTGGCAGGGTGATGAGTCACACTCTTTTATGTCTTCATCGCAGAGCTCACCTGAAAATGAAATCATATATCTGGCACTGCGTTCAGTGAAAATTGGGGGGGGGGGTCTTGTTCCATGCATTGATAGTTGGCTGAAAATGTGCACAGCCAGAAAGAAATAACTGCACTGAGTAGCTTTCAGAACACAACTTAAGTTTTCACTTGATATGCCAGGTTTTTTGCAAGATTTTATTTGTCTCTTTTCAACAATCAACATGTATATTGGAGTGAGGGGGCTGGTAGAAGCGATTAGCTTTATGGCTTTTTTGTGGGTTGTTTTGTTACAAGCATACACCTGATAGATTTAATCTTAAAAATATAAAATGTACCTGTGTAGCCTTCTGCGCACAAACATCTGAAATCTTGAATCATATTTTGGCATGTTGCTTGATTCAGGCAAGGCTTGTTTTGACACCAATCCATCTGTTCTTCACACCTGCCACCGGTTCGCCAATCAACGCAGCTGCACACGAAGCGAGCCACAAGATTCAAACAAGTTCCACCATACAGGCAGGGGCTGCTTGCGCACTCATCAATTTCACGCTCGCAGTTCATGCCGTCATAGCCCTCCTCGCAAATGCACGTATAGTTGTTGACACCATCTACACAGGACGAAGCGTGGACACAGGGAAATAACGAGCACTCGTTAAAGTCCTCCTCGCAGTTGGGTCCCACAAATCCTGGCGTGCAGGTGCATCTGTAACCTGGTGGGTCATTCTGACATACGCTGCTGTGCTGGCAGGGATGACTTTGGCAATAGTCGACTGGCTCCTCGCAGCGGGTACCAGTGAAACCGTCAGGGCAGATGCAGGTGTAGTCATTGATGCCATCAATACAAGTACCACTATTCTGACAGGCACTGTAGTACACAAAATGGCAAAATTAAAAGAGGATACATTATTCCTATTGACCCAATCTCAGACCTAAAATTTAAAAACCTTCCTGAACTTTGTCCAAACTTTCATCTGAAGACAACTAGCAAATGCGATTCTATGACCCTAACAATAATATCAAGAATGTACCAGAAAGGAAGACTACACCTATTCAAATAAAACTGTGACTTTCCCCACATCGTAATGAAGCTGTAACATTCCCCCTCAACAGGGCAATATGATCTGCATTCCTCTCAAAGCCAGACCCTGCAATGGGGGAGGGGTACTGTGGGGGAGATAATCAAGGATTCAATTTCCAAAATCTGCAAGCAAAATGATAGAAAAGATAAGTTCTGCATACTCTTGGAAACAGTCGATGATGTTGATTTGGCAAACCGATCCGTAGAAGCCTTCCCTACACTGGCAGACGTATCCATTGACAAGGTCCGTGCAATTCCCACCGTGCTGACAAGGTCCTAAAGCGCACTCATCAATATCGAGCTCACACTCCATGCCTTGAAACAAATGTAAAAATATGGGCCAAATAAGCATCAAACTCATCTTATACCCAAGCTTTTTAGCATTCATTGCCGTTAGTCTAACTGCTTTATTCTCTCACAAATACAGACATGGCAGAGGATATATAAAGAATGAAGCTAAAATTTACTTTCATCGCAGCGGACTAAATTGTATGTTTCTGACCTCCAGGGTCCAAACTCCATCGGCTTCTACAAGACACTAAGACCAACCAACATCCCTAGTGTGAAGTTATAATGTCAAAGTCCTTATCAAGTGAGTGGGAAAACTGACAAATGGACCAACTTACTGACCGACCACTGAACAGAGGGGCACACCCACATCCATGCCTGCTTCAAATATCTTGTATGGAGATCCTTTGATCTTCTATGGTTAAGATAACTTGGGGAAATGTTCAATCATTCTCCCACTATGATAACTCCTTCAAGCTGGATTTTTCTGACCTGTTGTTCATTTGGCCACTGATAAGCACAACCCCTGAAGGGAGAGACATTGTGTGAACGTGTCCCAGTCCATCTTCTGACCCTACATTACGTGGACTTATTTGTGCAGAGGTCCACTCTAGGGGTGCAAGGCGAGTAAACAGGAACAAAGGGGCAAGTAGGTAAAAACACTGAGCAAAAGGGGCACCCGGTTTTAAATGTTGGGAGAATTATGTATTAGCACACTGATAAAAAAGTAAAATACATGTATTTACGACCCCTGATAAAATCCTCAATAGCCTTACCACCATTTTCTTTTTAAAAAAAGAGTCCTTTGGCCCTAATGTTTCCCCACAGATCTACCTGCAAACCCTGCAGCGCATATGCACTGGTACCCAGTGAGTGTATTATTACACGTAGCCCCATGCTGGCATGCAGACGGCGAGCAGTAGTCAATACGATTCTCACAATGGGTACCAGTGAAACCCGGTTGGCATGAACAGATGTAACCATTGACTTCATCTTCGCAGGTGTTACCAACTCCACACGGATTGGACGAGCACTCGTTGATGTCAGAGGCACAGTTATGTCCTAATAAAAACCAACACGCATTCTTTTAAAGTTCAGCCGAACCAAAATATAAATTTTGGGGTTCCAAAGGTCATCAGTTCCATCTCTGCTTAAATATCAACGATGTTTTAACTCGGTAACTTAAACTTGAGGTTACTTAGACAAAAGGTACAGGTACATCTAGACTTGAAAGCCAGCTGCACAGCGCAGTGTATTAAAACTGAGTGAAAAATGTGTCAGGTAATAAGAAGGGTTGTGACAATTTGAATAATTCACTATTTGAATATTCGCCCGTCAATTTGATCGAATATCTGAATATTCGGTCGTACCGACCGGCAGATTGTTGAACAAACCATATAGCTTTTCCCATCTAGGAGTATCTCCAGCCACGATTTAGCAGGATTTAAAAGATGAACAATAATTCTTGCCCCGTTGAAAACTTCTAATTTACTTTTTGAATCTTTGTAAAAATTTCTTCCATTTTCATTTGAATCCACAGTGTTATAATACACGTCAGACAGGGAAAAAACCCTGAAATTTAATTAACATCTCCCCAGTGCAAATCCATCCTTGGAAATACAAGTTGGACTTTTTTTGTTGAGAACACAACTGCAATGGATTAGATTTTGAATTGAGCATTCAATTTCACCAGCAAAATTATCAATCTTTTTCAACACGAGTTTTAAGAAATGCGAACATCATCGGTGGTTACCCTCATATCCTGGTGGGCATTCACACATAAATGCATTGAGCTCATCGATGCAAGTGCCTCCGTTAGAACAAGGCCCCGAGGCACACTCGTTGTAATCTTTCTCACAGTTGAGGCCAGTGTAACCAGCCACACACTGACAGGTGTATAAGTCTGGGTCATATGCATTTACAACACAGGTGGCACCATTTATGCAAGGGGTGTCGTGGCATGGAGTCTTCAAGGTCTCGCAGAGGTCACCAACTCTGTCCAGAGGGCAAACACAGCGAAAGGTTGACCCCAGATCCACGCACGTGGAACTGTTATGACAAGGTGTGTCGGCGCACCAGTCCATGTCAGTCTCACAGTGGGTGCCTTCGTAGCCTGATCTACAGATGCAGTCATAGCCATTGGACTTGTCTTGGCAGGTAGCTCCGTTAAGACACGGACTGCTAGAACACTCATTGATGTCCAAGGTGCAGTTGGTACCGCTGTAGCCCGGTGCACAGTCACACCGGTACCCAGCATCTACAATACTGCAAACTGCACCATTTTGACAGGGACTCGGAGAACACCTATGGAAAAAAAACAGATAATTGATTACTTGAACTAAAATCTCTGGCTAAGTCTATTGTCTGCCCGTCTCCACGCATTTCCAGTTGGCTCTCACAATCCCACACACTTTTATACAACTCTGAAATGTCTATCAGATCACTGAAAGTGAACTGACTACATGATGCATGCAAATGTGATGGTATCCAAATAAGGGAGGGTCTTATAATTTGGAATGCTCAGAAGATTCCCACTGGAATGCTAAATCAGCCTGGCCTATGATCCAATGGAAAGTGAACGTTCCCTACCTCTGAAATACTCCCTAACAGAGACCCATCCTAGCCGATTCTCAAATACATTTGCAACAATTTCCTTTTTAAACAGGTAATTTGGGCAGGGTTGGATGAGAAATGGGGGTACATTTGGAGGGTCATATGCAAAGACCTTAGTCATATCATCACACACTGGAGTCGATTTAACATGTGCAGGCAGTTGGGGGGGAGGTACATTTGAATTTCCCAGTGTGGCCCCCCAATCCACACCAGTTGAGGGAGAGGCAATGAATGATCAGGCATTCATGTCTAATTTGATAGACATGTTTGTGGTTCTCACCCGTTAATCTCCAATTCGCATTGGGCACCGTGGTAGTTGGACGTACACTGGCAGTGATATCCATTAATTTGGTCACTGCACACACCTTCATGCTCACACGGTGAGGAGGCACACTCGTTGAAGTTTATCTTACAATAATCTCCTGCAGTCCATTAAGTAAAAATTTTTATTCACAAAAATGGTCACCTTTGAAGCCTAAAAATGTGTCTATACTTATACACAGCAAATTTAACCAAAGAGGTGAGTAGGAAACTAAGAACAGTACTTCTTTTTTCAAACTTTATGTAAAACAGAGTGATATAAATAATATTGTGTTAAATACTTGTGATAAAACAGAGTGGTTGAATTAACCTGTGCAGTCTACTCATTAACCTGATGAATTGCAGTATGCACCTTTTCAAAAGCCAATTTTGCCTATAAAAAGCTTGGAGACAGAAATTTGACTGAGGACAATTCAGGAAGGTCAGGAGGGCATGATTTAGATGAGGATGGCAAGAGATTGTCTAATGGAAGTCCAACCTCCACCTTACCTTCATATCCGTCCCTGCACTGGCAGAGATAGTTTGTGCTTCCACTTACACAGGTCGCGCCGTTGGCGCAAACGTGACCCATGCAGTTGTCAATTTCACAGTGTATTCCATGATAGCCTGGCGGACAGTCACACCGGTAACCACCCATCAGGTCCACGCAGGTAGCCTGGTGCTCACATGGGGAGCTCTCACATTCATTAATTTCTATACAGGGTGAAATAAGGAAATCTTCTAATAAAAATTAAAACAACACACATTTTACGTAACGATTTCCAGGAAGTTTAAGGAATACCAAACTTAGTTTCAAACAGTAAATTCCAAGGCATGATGAGGAAATAATTATAAATTGTTCAAGTCAAAATGGAGACTGGGGTGCTTCAACAACTTTTGCATGTATGCGTTGCGCTGTTATGGGCATGCGTGCAAAATGAACAGCGAGGTAGTTGCACGACAACTACACCCCACCAAGCTGGTGGACGCGGAACTTTTCAAGTCTGTCAAAGTTTACAGCCGGAGAAGGCACAAGTTTAATACAATGAAAGAAAATGGATGTGCCACCGAAAATCGGACAGAGGAGGAGATCAGACATTGTGCACACAGGTCTTTGGAGAGAGTTTTTGTTGGGCTGTGATGCCATGCAGGAGAAGCAACTATTACAAGGAAAATGAGCTGGTCCTGAGGAGAGACGTTGCATGCCTGCGGTATTTACTTCACCTTTGCACTCTTCGATGGAGGTGGCCCCGGTGGTCAATGTTGTGGTGCCATTGGGGCAGGGCATGCACTGAAGTTGCTGGGTCAGGGGCTGATACGTGCTGCGTTCGCAAGGTCTGCAAGGAGCCAGTCCCGTGTCTGACACATTTCCAGGATTGCAAATTTCTAAAGCAAGATAAAGAGAGACAACAAACTAGTGTGGGAGTGACAGAGAAATAATGACAAAAATACGACAAAGGGCATGTTCATAAAGGGAACATATGCACGTTATTACCACTGCTCACCAGGCCTGTCAATATTCCTGAAATCTTCTCAGCTTCCTGGGAGTATACAACTTGATGCCAAATTACACATACAGGAACTTGCCAAAGATTACACTGTAGGGTCAGTGTTGGATTTGAACCCCCGACCTGACAATCCACGTTACAGACCGCAGCTTCTGAGCTGCACATTCCCTTGAAGATCAAGTATCAGAAAAGAGATAAAAAATGTATACAAAGTTTTGGGCTCACGATTCATTCCTCCATTTATCCTTTCTGTCTCCAAATTGTGACTTGCTAGATTCACTACCACATTTTATTTCAAGGTAAACCCTTATGTACTTTGTGACAGCATTTGACAGTGAAAATGCTGTTGAAAATGCTGCTCAGATTAAATAAGGGTCACACCTTGACACTGGTTGAAAGACTGAGCTCCATAGTCCTGTGTTGTCGTGCCGTTAGGGCAGGCGACACATGATGTCTGACCAGGTAATGGCTGATACTCTCCCTGCATGCATTCCAAGCAAGGAACGACGCCATTGGAGGAAAAACTACCAGCAAGGCAGGCCTCTGATGGGAATCAAAATGCAGTAAAAAAAACCCAGATTATTAAAAAGTACACATCACTGGGAAGTCATCATTGTAATTAAATGCAATCGACTCATTCACGAGTTGAATTCCGCAACAGTTCACAAGTACTGGAAACTTGACACTGTGACTTCTAACCAACTAGTGCTTGGTTCACGATATCTTGGATGATTAATTCTTGTCAAAGGTGTACGTGGCCCTATTTAATACCCATGAGTTTTCAGCTCGAATGTTCCAACTTACACAGGGTCAGAAGAGTCAATACATCTGTCATACAACACAAGCACCAAGGACAGATGTGCAACTTTTGACACTTATCTTTAAATTCTTTCGACAGCAGGGTGCAAAGACACAAAAACATAATTTTCTGCAACGGTTAAACATAAAATAAATCTGCTCACCTTCACACCATGTTTCATTCTTGGCACCTTCGACAACTGTTGTGGTTCCAGGGGGGCACTGATCGCAGGTGAACTGAGCCTGTGCCTCCTGATAGTACCCTCTGGGACAAAAATGGCACTCGCCGGTTGAGTTGTCGTAAAAAAAGCCCGTGCTGCAGGCACCTGGTGATTGACAAAAGATCTTTAGGAGATCGTAAAGAATCCAAAGAGGGGGCTGGAAGAAGTTTTACTGGAACTTTTCATGGGGCTTCATACCCCTGAAAATTTAAAGAGCAAAAAAAAAACCAACCAACAAACAAACAAACAAACAAACAAAAAACTGGATTTCTGTGGGGTAGTTGATTTCAAAAGTTTAGGTTGCCAGCCCCCCAAAAAATGAATATGGAGTTTGGATTTTATACATGAATTGCTCTATCCGCTCAGTATCTGTAAGAAAAGAGATTCTTTTTAACCTACTTGTCTTTGATTAAAGGGAGAAATTAAATTTTTACTGTCAGCAATGAGACTTTTTTAAGCTTGCTTTTTAACTTGGATGTGTCTGTACTCACTACATCTGTAATCATCATTGTTGGCTAAGTATCCTGGTTCACACGAGACTGTAGCATAGCTGTAAGTCCCTGAACGCTCCACCAAGACAACAGAGAGGCCAGGCACTTCAAGGGCTGGTGTTGTTCCGTCCTCCAGGCTAGAAATGAAACTTTCTGCTGCTTCAATCATCGTACTTTCTGCATTCACTACCGAACTGAAGCTTGTTCTGTTTTCAGCATGGTGAATGTTAACACTGAACTCAAAAGATATAACTGCTTCCCAGGGACCTGTTTCTCTGATATGTCTTCTTGGCGAGCCTTTTGCCATCTCATCAAATCGCAGCCGCATCTTGTTCCATTTTATGGTTTCTTGTTCGGCCTTCACTGGATATCTTTGCAGTCGGCTTTGATAAATCTTGCCACTGACATCAACATTTAGGCTTCTCTTTCGTCGTCTCTGATCCCTTCTGCCGCACATAACGTGAACATTCCCCACTGTACAGTCATCAGATGGGTCACAGACATTTGCAAAGTTGGAGTTCTGCAGGAGTGTGATGAAAGCTGCAGCGATGCTGTCTCTGGTTTCTGGACTGCTGCAATCTCCGGTGAAATACATCAGCTCAGAGGGGAGGTTGGCACGGCGCGGGTTTTTCGTTTCTTAAATGAAAGATGTAACCAAAAGATTTCAGACAGGAGTCCAGAATTTACTTCGGAGTCACAAGAAAAATTAGTGTGAAGAGTGCCCTGAACAAAGCTATGTTTTGCTGACTTGAGTGCTCATGCAACGTATCCATTTGTGAAGAATCTATTAACCCAGACTGAATGACGTCTTCATTACACAGCGACTAATATCCAGAATGTCACCCATCCAGGCATGGAAAACATTTCTGCACTTTTTTTCACACTTCTCCCCTCTGAGGTGGCAGAAATTTCATTCATGTCTTTCTTATGTCTGAAATTATGCAAAAGCTAGGTTTAGAGAAAATAAATGGCTGGGTCATGACGTACCTAGCGCATATGCAGTGAAGTGGAAGAGCGAACGACCCTAGTCAACCATTGTCAGGTCATTAGGTCAAAGGGGAGAAAAGGTCCAGGCCGCAGGAAGGGCAAAATAACATAAACAGTCGTTTACAATGTCTCATTTTTTGCAGACGAGTGAAAATGATGATGAAACATTAATTGACACACATTGTTGAAAATATTGATGTACTTTTTATACTTCAATGACTTTTTTTATTATTTTTCCAGTCTTCCTTTTTTGTGTGTCAGATCAGGTTTTGTGTGAAAAAAAAGTGCCCGAAATATTTCCCTATGGCAGGATGGGGTGATATTCTGGGCATTAATTGTAATGTATAAACACTGGTGCCTGAGCTGGGCTACGATGAGCCCATATGATAAAACTCGACCCAAACAATCGTACTGTAAAACTACACAGAAGCAACAGGTGTACATGTGCCCCTGTTTGTATTAAACGATGTGATACCTTCAATGATGAAGGGGGATATATGGTACACTGTCAGTTAAGTTTACACTGGTTGCAGGTTGGGATGCAAAGTGCAGTCAAGTTGTAAGACAGTCTTCCGCTAAAATCTAAAAACGCTGACTTCTGAAAATAAATTACTACCTGAGCAATCTGGCACAAAGTTATGAGGAGTCCAGACACCAGACAAGCCGCAGACATATTGATTCGGTGGCCGCTGGCTGCTGCTAAGTCGGGGAATGTCAAAGTTGTCATTGCAGAAAATGTTACAGAAACGACCGTATGCCCACTTGTCACAGGCTAAGGCACCATTGTCAGGAGCGTCCAGGCGTGGGCACTCTTCAGCTGTGAGAAATCAAAACAGAAGGATCAGGGTTTTTTTCCCTTTCGGAGACCCAAAACACCGAGAAAGGGGCTTGTCATATTAGTGCTCTTTCCCCAATGGTGTGAAATCTCGATGTTTAAAAACCAAAAACATTTTTTATTTGTGAAAAGGCATGCAGCCTGCAATGTTAGTGGAATGATAGAGTCCTTTATATTCTTAAAAAGTTGCCATTATCTTTTGCAGTCAAATATGGACAAAACAAAATCCACCTGGCAAGTTTTACATTAAAGTATTTCCAAACAGAAATCACTCTCTGCTTTTGATTGAGTTGTGGCCAACGCACTGGTTTAGAACAGGTTGTGAAGCGTCCAAGGGATGGCAAATCAGTGAAACACCAGTAATGTGATGGTGACAAAAGGCCCGCCGTGTTTTGCCGCATACCCTGTGAAACAAATCGTCAAGTCCAATTCCTTGATTCAAATTTCTATTACAAGTGCATGGCCAACAGGCATGAAATGGAATTGTCATTAAACACAAAACCTGATGCTGTCACTCACGTCTGACGTCGATGAGGAATTCACACACCGCAGTCTTGCCGTTACTAGTGTCCGTGGCTGTGTACATCACTACATGTGTACCCCAGGGGAAGGTGGCCATGTTTCCTGACCCCCTGTTGTTGCTGATTTCCAGCTCGTCTCCCGAGGGGTCTTCAAAGACTGGTTCCTCCCAAGTCACCTCTGTCAGTGACGTCTCGGTGGTGACGTTGTAGCCGGAGGTCGGGCAAAACACAACAACGGGGCCTCTTCCATCTAAATATTTACAAACATGAATGGAAACAGCATAAAAGCCCAAAGAATTCACAGAAATGTGTTGCCATCAAAAGCAAAACTGTATCACACCAATCATGTATTTAGGCCAAAAACATATTAAACAGAAATAGTAACACACATTTCTTTCAAAAAATCCCAAACCTAATTTCCATGCCAGGAGGTAGAGATAGTTTTCCAATGGTGAACTTTGTACATAAAAAGAAATGAATAACAAAGTAACAGGAATAATTCACATTGATACTAAATGATTCATAACAGTACTGGCTGCATCACTCACCGACAATTTGCACCAGAAAGGTACAGGTGACTGAGTGATTAGCAGCATCTGTGAAGGTGTAAACCACCAGTGTGGACTTGGTGAAGTTGTACGGCGAGCCTACGTCAACTGGTGATGTTGTCAAAGTCAGATTATCGGATGGATCATTGTCCCTTGCTGTTGGAGTGTCAAAGGTCACAGGCGTTCCTGACACATTCTCCACGGTGACGTAGATGGGTCCAGGGCAGAAGGTTATGACAGGAGGAGTCTCATCTGTATACAAAATGAGAAAGACTATCGGATAACAAGAGTACAGTTCTTTCTTCTTGAAAGGCAACATAAGCCTAAGGCACAAACAGCACTGCTTTTAGCCGAGATACGTTAACTGGAGCCAAAGCTAGATCAACCTTTGCAAAACATGCCAGATTCACAATTAAAACCTTATTGCAAAGAAGACTGCTTTTCAAATTAGAGTAGGAAATTCAAGGGAGTTTCAATGCAATGAAGGCAAAAAGGCAAGTATAATGTAGCTTATTACTGGAAGAGCAATGCTTCGAACTGCAAGTTGGGGGAGGCGGCCACGTTGGCAAAATCAAATCTGTCTCAGCACTGCAAAGAAAGAAACAGTGCTCAAATGCTTGGGGCCCAAACCTGCTTCCAAACCCACTGCTGCCTGTTGACCATCATGGACAACTAAAACCTTTTACGATATAGTCTTAGCAAGCAAAGCTACGCTGGGAAAACTGTAACAGAAAGACAATCACTGCCATGGGTGTTTTTAGTCACAAGACCTCTCACAACTCGGACACTACAGATATCATGATTCTTGAAAAAATAGTTTAATAAGGAATAAAAGAAAGTCTTGCAAGAAAGACTACTCCTTTTTATATAGTGGTACTTACACAAGTGATACTTTCCTTGTCTTTCACCTCTACTACCTGGGGTTCCAACCATCTGAGTTGGCATGTTGATTCTATTTCAGTCCCTATCTATTTCTACTGGTTTTCCCTGAATACATGTCAAGGAATTTCTTCTTGCCACTGAAACTAAACATGTCTTTATTGTCTTCTCTAGACAGGTTTTTCTTTCAAAGTGAACCCACAGGAAGTAAGTTGAAAGACATTTATGCACCATTCCTGCTGTATACCTTTGCAAACAGGCAGGTCCCCGACACCACCCTCCCACATAGACTCTGCAGTGCACAGCTTCGACGACACACCTCCGACAAGGCTGAAGTCGTTCAAGCAGAAGAAGCTGCACCGGGTGCCAGCTAGCGGGCTACCAGTGGTGCAGACTGGCGGAATGGTTTGCACAGTGTCCCCAGGGGACAGGGCATCACAGCTGATTACTGAAAAGTCCAAAAATTTATGAAGAAAATTTCAATTGTTGGCTCAGAATTTGAGCGAAGAAATCAAAAATACAGCAGAGTGCAAAGTGCAAACCCGGATATTTAAGAATTCTAAAATATCCTGAACAGTTCAAACTTCAAATTTTCTTACGTCTTGCTACCAAGTTGACAAGATGGGCACAACTGAGTTTGAACATTTATTAATGATTAATGAATTTCATACCCACTTGTTTACAATTTCCCCAAGGACCAATGTTGAATTGCAACTTGTACAATCCAACCATGTCAAAAGAAGTCGTTTCTGAGATATCTCAATTCTTCATGACGTTCTGTGTATGTACACTCATGTACCAGTGTTCTCTGTCACATTCCCCCGTTTGGCTATATGAAAGAACTTTTCCACTCATTACTTAGTGACTTTTTCACAGAAAGACTTGAGTGATGTCAGTGCAATTGAGCTTGGTATATCATAGTGGTATTGAGGAAAGCCCATGGAGGCTGTCACATAAGAATTAAAATTGTGCAGCTCCTCACACTCGCAGCTCGGCACATCCTCTTGGTGCCAGTACGTAAGATTGCCGTCAAATTCGCAAGTCGCTACACTAGATCCAACCAAGCGGTACCCGGTGTTGCAACTGAGGTTGCAAACACTGCCATACACATTGTCGCACTCGCCCACAAATTCTCCGAAGAAAGGGGGGGACAGGACAGGACACATGCGCTCTGAGGAAAGACAAGAATAAAAGAAAACTACGACTGCAACAGGGTCAAAGATCTTTTTTCTTGACACTCAGGTAATTCAGGATTGAAAAATGCCTCTCTTCTGATCCCCTCACATCTTTTAGATTAAGAACTTTGATGGAATAACTCATGCAAAATATTTGTTCATGAGACAAAACCAAATCTCTTAATCACATTGAATGCATGAATGATACTTCAAAAGAAAAAAAGTGTCTCCCAACACATGCCAACTTTCATGCAAGGTCAGACACCAGAGATCACTGACCATTCACTTCCACGAGGAAAGAACACGTTGCTGAGTTATTGGCCCTGTCCGTGGCAACGCAGGAGACCCTGTGATCACCAATGTTAAACCAATCTGACCCTGGGTCACAGGCCACTGTAGGCGTAGTACCATCGTTGTCAACAGTGAAGAGAGAATAATTGACTTGTGCCGATGTTGAACCCTTATCAACATACGCTACTATGACGGAGGGGCAACTTGTAAAGCGGGGATTTTGGCGATCTATTGGGAGAAGAAAATAGATTTGATAGGAAGTAAACAAATCCAACATTATACTTTGCATGCTTCCCCCAAATCGAACTGTTTGAACAGTAGATCTGGCATGTACTACAGAAGATATAATGAACAGCCCAACAAAAATCTTTTAAAATGAAATTTGGGCTGACTCATTAAAACGAGCTGATGAGAATATGAATGCACTCACCAACACACTGAATGGCAGAGATGTTGTAAGACCACTTTCCATTGCTCCGACACGTGACATAGTCACTGCCTGGTGGGTCTATCACAAACCCGTCCTGGGTGCAGGACAGCAGACAGTTGTGGCCAAATACAGGCTGGCCGTAGCAGACATACGGGGTGAGCGCAATACCTGCCCCTGGGCTCAGAACAGGGCACCGCGTTTCTGCTCGACGAGAAATTTACAAATTGTTGAAGTAACTATATAAATAGAAACCGCAAGATATAAATGGAAATGTTGTATCCAACCACGTGTGCAAGACCGTTTTGATGCACAAGCATAATCGGTTCTCTGCTTTGGCTACCTAAAATGAACAAGAGTTGTGTGGTAACCGGCAAAGTCGCCTCCTCTTAGACTGGATATGTATCTCAAAGGACACTGCTTATACAGTGCCCCAAGCTATGTGTAAATCAAAGTTTCATGTACAGTACAGCACATGGAGATTGGTAAGCACTGTATCATTGGAAAGTTTAAGCTGCAGTACTAAAGTTCCTGTGTTAAAATATTGTTGTGAAAAGTAAAGTGGCAATGTATTGACCAGCATCTTATCAGCGGCATATGTCCAGATTTCAAATTCCCAGTGTACGAAAAGGGGCTGAACTCTGGAATATATGGGAAATTTTTCTAGGAAAAGAAAGACCCCAAATTGCTTTTTAAAAGTTGCTAAAGGGGTGTGGGTTGCTACAACAGATGACAACACCTCAGCAATTTTAATAATAGGAAATGAACTTAGTGAAACACTTACCGTTGCAGACAAGGTCAGTTCCTGACCAGGTGCCATCAGCCAGGCAACGAGACCTCCCGTCATCGCTAGTCTGAGCCTCGTAACCATTCTCGCAGTAGAAGGAACACTCAGTGCCGTAGGGCTCAGAGGGGAGGTTGCAACCAGACTTGATGGAGTGGGGTGGGGCAGTCTGGGCAGGGCATTTCACAACTAGAAACAACAAGAGTTTAACGTGGGAAAAGAGGAGAAAAAAATGAGCAGTTTGAACGCAATGCTTGAGGGGGGTTATAGACAAAAATTAGTCAACAAAATGTCTCAAATTTGGTGGATTTCAAAGGATTTGGAGAGTTTATAGGGCATCACAAAAATGATTAACAAACAAAATATAACTGTGGTTTTATAACGATTGGTGACTATGTAATTACATACTTGTACACACAGTAGTCTCTCCGTCCCAGTAGGGCGTGTCATCACTGGATAATTGACAAGTTCTGTCCTGCGATCCGTTCAGTGTGTAACCGATGTTACACCTCAAGGTGCAGTTGGTGCCAACAACAGGACTGGAGCGATCGCAGTTAATGGAACCAGAAATAGGCACTTGCAGTCTCTCGCAACGGTGCACTGTCAGAGAGAAGAGAGACGCAAAGAGTAAAAACAGGAGTGACACAATAGTAGCACACGGGGTGAAAAACGTGGTGAAATGAAGATCTGCCGATTGTAAACTTTGGATCCACATAATGCAGGAAAGGAGCGGATAAAAATTATGAATAATTTTTGACGTTTTCCTCTTGGGTTTCAAATTCAGCCAAAGCTTAAATTAAAGTTTAACTCTTTTGATTTAATTTGATTCAAAGGTGGGTTTTCATTACCTACAACGGTCACAATAACATCACATTGTGAAGACAGGGCACTTGGGTCTGTCGCAGTGTACGTGACTGTTGTTCTTCCTTCTGGAAACCTGCTACCAGGAGCCATATGACCACTTACCCTGTCACGAAGCAACGGTATTTAGTTATCATAAGAGAATTTCAACATGATACTAGAATATTTTGGGCACCATTTTTGACAGACTTTGACTCAAAGATAAGGTGCATTCAAAATGACTTACTTCAGGGATATGTTGAATTTAACAATTGTACAGAAACTATTAGTTCACTGTTAAGCCTAACCCCAAGCCTATTTTTGCTTCAAACCCTGCCAGACGCATCAACCTGCATCATTTGTCAAAGTGGCTTGCCAGCCTAGTGTAACAAGATCCAATAGGTCAACTCTCCCCAAGGCCAAACAGCCTGTGAGTTTGTTCAGCTGCTGTTGATTGCTAAGAGCATCAGACTTTTGGACTTGATGCACTGTGCTGCGTCTGGTAGGATTACAGTTAAGACATCTGAAACTCACATTAATAGTATCAGAGCATTTATAAGGCACAAAGTAGCAACCAATATCTGTTATTCATTTCATGAATTATCATCATTCACTTGTTTTCACAACATCTCAACATTCTGGAAACCATTTCAACTGCCTGGGGAACGTAACTGCTGCCCTTGCATAAAGGGCAAATTTTTTACTTTCTCTTTCTGTTTGACCACTGGGTTTGAAGAAAAAGCGGCACAAACTAAATCATACTTTCCACAATTTAAAGTGGCACACCCCCTAACCTCTGTGATCGTCTGCCCAGATAAAAATGAAAAAAGAAGAGCGAGTGAAAAGTCTGAAAGCACTTCCACTGACCTGTTCACATTGACCATTCCTGAGTTGTCAGTGGCAGTCGGCACCTCGAAGGTGACAACCTTTGAGGTGACACCAAAGTCGCTGTTCACTTCCACAGACTGAGGGCAGGAGACATCAAAGCTTGGCGGCTGTTCATCTAAACAGTCAAGGGTTAAAGAGTTGCATGAGAGGCTGAATACATCATTACCACATTGTCAGAATTGTTTCTTGAAGAGACTGATTAAGTGTGGTGAGGGTTGTGAAATTTATCTCTTTTTGAACACTTTGTCAGTAAAGACTTTTAGAACTTGCATTTATGCTGTCAGTAGACCGACTTAAGTATGTATCCCAGAAAATATGGGTCAGAAAACTATCCAATTTAATGCAGAAACAACAATATATATTGTTATACCACTGTAATAGATTACAAATTTTTATTGGTCAAGAAGTGATCACACAATATACCTTAAACACATACATGTATAAAATGGACTGCAAGAACATGAACAATGCTCACCGAGATACAAGTGATGTACCAAGTGAGGTATATTGTCATGATCTTTCCAAAGGCTGAAAGAGTAATTTCCACCATGCTGTATTAGCAGGACCTTGGGTACAAGAATGTAGAGCTGAGCTGGTGCTACGTTAGATCACATGTGCAAGATGTGCTGTGGACAGTGAAGCACTAATTTTTTTGCTTTACATCGTTTGTTCATTTTTGTTTTGGCTATAATGTCAACAGATGACAGCAAGTTAGTTTTCAAGAAGAGGCTTTTGTATCGTTCCAAAAACAAGATCAGTAATTTGAGTTTTGTGGAGGACATCAGTACGAAGAAAAATGCAAACACTCAATTTAGGCATGACAAGGGAGACCCTGCCGTTTCAGACATCACCTACAAAAGAAGTTGACAGCTTTCTAGAAATTTCTTTGGAAATATCAAGAAAAAGAACGGTACTCCCACCAGGTATTCAATTCAGTTGAAGGCGTTCAATTGAATGCTTTGATGGTCAAAAAAAATTGAAATGAAATGCATTGTGACACCACAAAATGCATTCCACTTTGTTCCTTTGCATTGCCATTTTATTCCTCTTTGTAGCAGGCAACAATAGTGAGAAGAGAGTATTCTTAACGTATGGGCATTAAGAGAGAGACTGTTTTTCAACAAGCTCCCAGGAAGCGATAAGCAGAGTATGCTTAATAGATTGCGCACAAATCTCACAAGTCTTGGCAAGGAGATATCTGCTCTGAGCAGGAACAAAAGAGGACATGTTTTGAAATGAAATTGACAGTCCTTTGGTACTCATGCATTGTATAGCTGCACAAGTTTATGTGCGTTTGATATGGAGCACACTGAGTACGCGCAACAATTCTAGTCTACAATGCGTGGTCTTTGCATGCACACCGAACGCGCGCTAGAACCCGCTTGGAAAACTTAGTACCATCTGTCTTTCTTTGGCCGATAAGGGTGCACTTCAGCTCAGGGCAGATAGTCTGCAAGTATCACGTACAGGTACCATCTTCAAGACAAAGACGGATGATACTTCTTACCCAAGCAAACAGTGGACTGGAGGTTGTCCCACTCTCCGCTGTCGGTGCAAGTCTTCACCGTAGGTCCCTGCTGGAGGAAGCCATCATCACACGAGAAACGGCACGTGGTATTGTAGGGTAAGGTTGCATTTTGGCGACAAGCAGGTGGATCCAACCATCCATGTGGAAGCAAGAAGGAGCCGGGGCATGTTACAGCCACTGTCAAATTGAGCGATGACAGGAACACTCAGTGGTGAAGTCAGATACAATAAAAGCTTTAATAATAAGCTTTGTTGCTCCCTACATGAACTGCGTTGGGGGTGGCACATCATCTGTTGGGCTGGGGCACTAACCGTGCCCCTACAATAGGGTGTGTAAGCACGATATCATTGGTCCGCATTCATTAACTACTTGACGCTGGATGACGTGTAAACGTACACAATTTTCCTCATTTGTTGCACGGAGGACGTGTACACTTGTTGAAGAATTCTTTTTTTCATTTCCGCGGTTGGCATATAAACGCATCATGCTTGGTCAGGTCAAAGCGCAATTGCAAGGTTTAAGAATTTGCGGGTAAAAAAAAAACTGTCCCAGCAGCTCTTTCCGGTCAGAAAATCCGACTGGTTGAAAGGCTGGTTAACACTGCACTCGATCATGTGGGTAATGTCAAACCTACAACAGGGTTGGGGGATCCCAGCAGAGGGGCATGAACCAACCCAACCCCATTGGAATTGTTGAAATATATACAACCTATGTACAATTCAGTTACACTTCAGCGGCTTGCAAGACTCCCCTACAAAAATGTGTGCACTAACGTGGCCCTGCCCAAAATTCCACAGAAGTTACAGTGCTACAGTGCAATGACATTCAAGGGTCGGCCTTCGTAGTTGGTGGGGAGGCACTTATGCATGGAGGCCACACATCTACTGGGACATTCTGCTGAGCACTGCAGTAATGCCATATTCTGCCATGCTGCAATCAATTATAATGACCAGAGCAAAGTGGTGCATTTTACCTGTGCACTGGAAGTCAGGTCCACTCCATGATCCATCTGCTTGGCACTGGCGGTTGCGGTTACTCTCTCCGCTGGCTGTCCTGTGACCCGGGTCACAGTGGAATGGGCACGAGTTCCCAAAGGTGGTTCCATTCCCTAAACAACTAGATATGTAGCCATGGGTGATGCTAGGAAAGGGGCACCAGTTCGCTGTATGAAGTGAAGAAATATCTGAGCTAGGTTAGGTCTTACACGTTAAATTAGGTCCAATCGTTGCCATGGCTGGATTAACACATATTTGCCACAGTACTGTATATGTCTCTATAGACCTTTTTTATGATGCTACCATGTTTGTCTTGTACCTTGGAGACCTAATGGCAATAGTAATACAGCTTTACATATTGATTAAAGGAACAGACTCATTTTCCTGCCAGCCTCAGTTTGGTGGTGTTGCTTTGAATAATACAAAAGCAAGATGGCTACCCCATGATGATAGAGGTCTATGGACTAGTCAGTTGAGTCAGGTCAATATTTAATGTCATGGCATATAAGTAAATTATTTACTGAGGAAGGCTCAAACCTGATTCATTTTTAAGGTGAACTTAGTTAATATTTTTACAGTAGAAACAGTCAATTCGATTACTTTCCCTGCATTTACTCCTGCAAGACCCAAACTGCACTTCATTTGAGATCTCATTTCACTTGGCCTGGTCCAAGAAATTGACTTGCTTATGCAAGTAATCAAAAAGCACTTAAAATGACCGGGCACATCAAGATATCTACTTCAATGTTAATTATCAACTGCTTGGTCATCTATTCTGAGGAATCAACCTGAAATGAACAATGGGTTTACGCAGCACTAAAACATTATGCAAACGCACGCCTGCACGTCGGTTGCTCTAGAGTCCAATATCCCTGACTGCTCGTATTGGTCAAGCGGTTGCAACGTCGCCTCAGAGTGGCACCCTCTGTTGACAAGGTGTATCCAGTGTTACAGCTAATCTCACAGACAGAGCCATAGACAGCACCTCCAAGGCAGGAGCCATGTCCCGTTGCGAGGTCTATGTCACCATGCTGTGGGACGGTCAGGCCAGTACAGCGGGTCACTGCAAAACAAGCCAATGAATTGGCAAAATCAGTCTAGCTCAATACAGCCAATGATATATTGGTGTTTTGAGCAAAGAGACAGAGGAACCTTTATTCCACACTTTACTTCAATGCCAATGTAACTGACATCTGACCTCTGGCCTCCAATTGCATAGAGCAGGACCCTGAGTTGCCTGCGTTGTCAGTCGCCGAGTAGACCAGTGAGTAGGTCCCTTCTTCCAAGGTGCTTGGCTTTGGGCCGGTGACAGGCACGGAGTTGATGGACAGCAGCATGGCGGTAATCTCACGGCCTGCATCCGTGCCCTTAATGCAATCCAGAGACAACCTACATGTAATTACTGGCTTATTTGAATCAAAGGTCTAAGGTTTTAGAAATCTGCATCCCACACGTATACCAGAAGTCAAAAAGCATTTTATTAGCTTGCCTGGCACCGGAAAAAGAGACAATTTAATGACGCACAATTGCTTGACTTGATTTTACATTCAATGCAGGACCTAACAAACTCCCCTTATTGCTTAAATAGACTTTTGACTGTTTCATTGATGCCTCTTATTGGAAAAAACGTACAAATCCTCCCCTCGAGTGTGAACACAACAAGCAATTAGTCTGGTCTGTGCACACTGGAGCAATGTAATTTAGCATTCATTTCAAGTTAGCTTGAAGACAAGTCCATTATCATGGCACCACTGTAGAACGTGGAAAATGTAGCAACTCCCTCATTGGACGTTTTGGAACAGAATCTGCAACGACGCACCTTAACAGGCTCCCAATGCCAAGACACGGTCACCGTGCTGTGTCCCTCTCTAGTGAAGATGACCTGGTTCACAGGACACTGCAATGCTGGAGCTTTCTCATCTGAGGGGAAAATAAAATCACTGTCAACTCCAACTGGGCAAATTACCTTTTTCTGACAACAACCTAGGACACAAAACACAAAGAAAAACAACTAATTCATATCCTTGCCACCTAATGATACATCTCATTATTGAAATTATTATCGCGGACTTAAACTGTCTCATTTCAATCACTGGTGCCCTTTTAAAACCATTGTCGCTGTACTGAATGAGTAAAAGTAATAGTCCAAATAACAGGGCACAAAAACCTTGAATGTACAGTATCTCTTTTACTAACACTGGCACAATGGAAATTTTACACCCGAACTGTAATGTCTGCGACAGGAAAGTCCCTACTGAACAGCATAAGCATGTGCAGCATGTTCTCGGTGTTGGTGACCTGCGCTGTAGTAGGACCTAGTTTTTGTGTCATGGTTGGACCGCCACACTGGCATATTTTGGTGGAATTCTGAAAAACTGACAAGAAGGTTTAAATATTCCAACGAAAGTTGCCCACAACAGTTGAGCCAGCCCTGGTACAGTTCTGCGATTTGGTTTCATGTCATGGTTGGGGTGTAACAGCGATCATAGTCAGCCTTGATTCTCTACCTCTGCATTCGACACTGGTGCCATCCCAGGTGCCAGATACCAGGCAGTTACGTGTCGCTGTGCCAAAGATGGTGTAGCCTTCATTACATGCTGACGTACAGGTCGTGTCAAAACGTTGGAGACCGCCAGTAGTGACATTTTGCCCGTTGCGGACGCAGCGTGATTTGAAACCGTTGGTGGGGGAAGGAAACCGTGGACAGGTCACAACTAAGAATCAAAATAAACAATTTGAGACAAAGAATCATTATTAAAACCTAGTATTAAAAACGTTGAAAAGTCTTTCAATAAAATTATACAGAAAAAAAATACAGCAGAAACAACATTGATTACACAGGGGAAATAAGTATTTTCACTGAATTCTGCCCATGGAAAGCCTGGATGAGGTTTTCAGTTCAAATGAGGAGAGGATCAGAAGGATGTAATCTTGATTACAAACTCCTTTATATCAAAACACACCTTAACCCTAACCCTCCAGCCTACTTTGGCTAGAAACCTGCCACACACAACAATCTGCATCATTTGTCAAAGTGGCTTGCCTGCCCAGTGTAACAAGATCCAACAGGTCAACTCTCCCCAAGGCCAAACAGCCTAGGAGTCTGCGGTTGCCAGCCACCACAAGATCCAACAGTGGCACTGTTCAATGAGACTAGCTCCCATTGTCTCAACGTGACCAGTTTGTTTGGCTGCTGTTGATGCCAAGTGCATCAAAGTGCATCAGACTCGTTAACCTGATGCACTGTGCTGCGTCTGGCAGAGTTAGAGTCACAAGGCCATAATCACAATGGGGAACGACTGGCTCATCACAAAGTGTTTTTGAGTTTGAAAACAAGTGTCAAAATCTTTCTCCTGAAGACAAGCAAGGCAAACTGCACACGCCCACAAAACAGATCTGCTCCCATGGCGTTGAGCCTTCTCCTCTTTGGTTAAAATCTAAGAATGCAGAAGGGAGAGATATATAACCCTTACTTGAGCAGGATATAGTCTGACCGGACCACACTCCACTGTCATTCTCATCGCTCTGACATGTTCTCTGCATCGGGGCTGTTGGCGTGTACCCACGATTGCATGACAGGGTACAGATAGTGCCGTAGGACTCATGCTCTCTCGAACAACCAGTCTTGACGCCATTCACTGGGGCGGGTAGGTTACTGCTAGCACAGGTGATTTCTGATTATGATATAAACTATGAAATCAAACTTTGCAACAAGTCATATTTATATTCTACTGACTTAACATCCTTGACATTGATTATATAATGACTGCAGCAAAGCTCACATAACCATTGACAAAGGCTACGTGGAGGTATCATTTAGGCTATTACCACATACATGTACATGTATGTATGTGCATCGCTCAATACATGCTCATTTACAATCTGCAATGCAGCTGTATTAATCAGGAGATTTGAGTCGCCACTTAAAATTAAAGCTGAAGACACCAAGCAAAAAAATGCAATATAAAAACTTCCATACATTTCCACAGACCAGATATAAAAAAAGCTGAAATTCAGGGTCGACATCTGAATTTAAAATGCTGAAATCAGCTAAAAAGCTGAACTGTAACACCCCTGATTAATCCTAGCAATCATGCAGCCAATTTCATGAATACATGGTGGCTTAACTCCACTTATGCCACATTTCATTACGTATGTTGCACAACAAATAAAGACTGATTTCACAAACATTACGCACTGCGTAAGTTCGCGACTTACACAACAAATTATGGTGTAACTTACGCAGTCATTTTAGGTGTCGAAAGTTGTGCCAACCTAAGTGAAAATGAATACAGCATAAATTTGTGGCGCAGGGCTTAAAGTTCAAAGTTACGCTGCTTTTAGTGAAGTCGGCTGCTGAATTGGCTACAGGTGGAGGACTCAAATGCTGCATTCTCAAACTGAGCGCTCTTTCATCTAGCAATTTTCACTTCTTTACTTCAGCAACACCAACACCTACATGGATTATCACTTTGTTCATTGCACAACCACACGTGACAGGCCGGCACCACCGCCTTAAATCTTCAGCAGTTCTGACCACACATTACCTGTGCACCAAGGCAAGGTTTGTTGCCACTGACCATCACCGCCACACGTCATTGACGATTCACCTTGCAGTGAATACCCCTCAGCGCACTCAAAGCTGCAGAAGGCGTTGTATGCCACATCTCGTCCAGTAGAACACACATCAGGTTGGGTTGGGAGCAAGCCGGTGCCCAGTTGCGGCACCTCACAGGTGATAACTGTATAAACCAGTAACTCTATTACCTTAGTGGTTTAGAAGCGTCAGTAATAACAAATATAATTTACGAAATATGAATATTCATAAACATGAATAAACGTGAATACATAACTATTCATTTGCAAATGATTCTCAACTTTATTTTTTTACCTTGACCACTAGTCCCAAATACAATACGATCAACCAAAACCGTGTCAATTTAAAATAATTAACTTAAAGTTACATGGATTGTTGGAAAATTCTTACAGGCAAAATTGGTATTATAACTCCCAGCTATTAAATATATTTCTCCTTATAATTTAAGATCTGCATTTGAGCATCTTTTATGTGACCATAAGCAGGCATTAATCAATGTTTGATGCTTAATCTGTGGAAAAGAATGAACAAAGTTGAAAGGTAAAATGTGTTCACTATTTATTAATCAATGTCTTCCTCATGGCATTCTTCACAAAAAAAAAGAAAGATTGATCCCTGAAGATAAAGAAAAAATTCGAGATAATTTGGATGAAGAGATTTGATTACCAGCTTACTTTGGCATTCGGTTGCAGTTCCATCCCAGAATGCACTAGCTTGGTCCTGACGCGAAACACAATGTCTTGCCGGGCTACCAATGATCCTGTAGCCAGTATCACAGACAAAATAGCACCAAGAGCCAAAGGTGACGCCGCAAGGCTGTGAATCGCGAAAGTTTCCCTGGGCTGGGGGGTCCAGCCGGGGACATCTCAAAACTGGAAGTCAGGACAACAGAAAATGGAAATCAAAATGCCAGAAAAGAACCGGGTACTTCATATAAGCCTGGTTGATGGTATATTATATTCCCAGTCTCCTCAGAGAAGAAATAATTCAGGACTTAGCAACTGGTTACAACACACCGCAGCTTGGTCTCTTACACGTACATTGATACACCTCTCCTCATAGCTGAGAAACAACTGATTAGGGTTGAGTCTTGATAATTGATTATGATAACAGGATTTTGTAACTGCAGAAGATTTTGATAAGCTGTGTATGGCATATCTGCTGAACTTCAATGAAGTGAAATTATCTCATATGAGGATCATTCAAAGCACATTTCGGAATTTGAAGTTTTTTAATCACTGCATACTTTCACAGGTTGGTTGAGGTGGGTTCCATGACTGGTCCGATTGGCAAATAGCACTACTGCCTCCCAGTAACTGGTACCCCGCATCACATTGGAAGGTACACATGGCCCCCTTGATCTGCCCACTGGGACAGTTGATTACCAGCCCATCACCAGCTGATAAAGCTGTACATGTTATCACTGTAAGGAAACAAATGGCTGTGTTACGAATAAGCAGAGAGGTAGAAATGACAGTAAGTGGGAATTTGGAGGCTCAAACCTTTCATATTCCACAACTAACAAAAGAGAAAACAAGAAAGGGAAAATAAAAGTGAAGATTACAATCTGAATTAGCCCACGAATAATTATTGAGATATTTATTCCCACTGATGAACGACACGACTACATAAAAATATTTCAAGGATGGATTTACGCCGGGGAGATGTAATTAATTTTGGATTTTTTGCCCTGCCCGAAGTGTATTTTAACACTGTATATTCAGTGTATGCCCCTTGAACTAGTTGTTTGTGATACGATTTGAACCAGCCAGCTGACATCGGCAAGCTCAGTGGTCGAGTGGTTAAGACGTCTGCACTAGTAAGCAGGAGGTTGTGGGTTCAAATCCCACGCGAGTACACTTGTGGGTTTTTTTCACAAGCCTTCACTGAGCATACAGTGTTAAAATACACGTCGGGCAGCGCAAAAAGTCCAAAATTAATCCACATAAAAATACAGTCAAAGTTGCAAATAAAATATCATCATAAATGTCACATTACATTTTGACTTCCACGTATGTATCTCTATGTTTAAATTCATTCAAAAGACTTCATTTCCAAAAACAGTGGCCTACATGACTGTGACATACTTTTTAGGGGAAGCTTCCTTGCATTTTTTACCAATTTGGTGTGTAAAACATGACAAAAATCTATTAAGCCGCCATGTGAATAAATTCAAACAATCTTGTGCAGTAATCTTAAAGATTCTCAAAATTCGAGACATTCAAAATCACCTATGACAGTGACACTGAAGGTACACAGAGCAGTATTGCCCTGGGCATCTCGGGCCTGATACTGGATGGTTTGAGACCCTTCACTGAAGCGACTGCCAGGTGGCAATCCTTGTATCTGGAATACGGTTAGTCCACTTGGAACGTTGTCCATGGCTGTGGGCATGGCCCAGCTGACCAGGGCACTTGTTGCGGCATCGTCTGCCTCCCGTGACAAGGTCCGTGGGCAACTGTCGAAGACAGGAGGCAGAGTATCTGAAACAACAAGGACAGAACAAACTTACTTGTCTTCACTGCTTAATCTCCAATTTGTTATCAGCTCTGTCCACGTGGAAAATTTGGTATTATTCCCGAACTCTTCGCTAAACTTACTGATTGTCTTATTTATTCACAAAGACAACAGTCCCCAGCAAAAGGTAAACTGTGATTCTTACAAGTCTAAAACTCCTCTTTTTATTCCTTCTTTAAGCACAAGTCTGAAAACAGATAGACCAGATGCATTATTTTCTGCCGTGCTGTTAGATTAGATCTGGTTAACTGGAAGATCTCCAGTCCCTATGGCATTGTGGGCTTTTTCTACTCTTACATACTGAACTTCGACAACCTTCAACATTAAAACTTACATTTCTTTCCCTTTTTTTACTCAAGCCAAAGTTTGGATATTGTGTAGATCAGAGTTCATAAGGGAACTGGACCTTATAACAAAAGACCGTACTCGTAACAAAAGACCAGGCTGCCAGGGAAATACCAACATTTTTTCACTGTTGACAGCGGAGATAATACAGTATTGTTTTGAAACAGTATAACACTGTTTGTGGCATTCAGTGCAAGCGGATTACAACTGAGGACAAAAGCACTCCACCCTGCAGCGATGAGCCACACACTACTGAAGCATGCTAATCTGGCCCCTATTGAAAAGACACCAGCAACGCACTGTGCCAGTTTTCGGAACAAAAGAAAATTACATAACACCGCACAATCTGGAATCTTTTTATAAGGCAACTGGCCTGGTTGAATACTCCGGCGTCAATAGAGGGATCCCAATACGACACTTTTAGCGTTGATCTGCGCACCTCTACGTTTGAACACGAGGCTGTATGTGTCAGCTTCAATTCTTAATACGATCAGATGATTGAAAGTAAGGAGTTAAGACACAAAATACATAAAGGTCAGATGATTGAAAGTAAGGAGTTAAGACACAAAATACATAAAGGTATGTTAAATTCAGACTTTTCAGGCTGCAAATGTTTGTGGAAGAGTCTTTCAGGATGACTCGACACGTAAAATCAAAAGAAAAAATAACGACAATTGACCGCAAACTAACGTACCTACAATGGTCATGTATCTTGTGCAGTGGGCGTGGTTTAAACTGAACTGGTGTCACACTTACAAACCGGATACTTCATGTACTGTTTCGACTCTGCGGGCGCGCGCGACGAAGTTCAACACAGAGAGCCTCGGTTTCAATAAAGATATGCGCAGACGGCGCTTATGTGAAATCCCTCTAAAGATGTTGTCCGTCAGCTTAGAGTAGCCATCAGACAGTCATTCGTAAGCGTCCAGTAAATGAAGATATGAATTTTTAAAGAATTAAAAAAAACAGAAAAAATGAAAGTGCTCCAGCCCAGCAGAATCAACATTTATAAATGCCCCAGCCCGAAGTGGTTGCCACCTCAGAAGATCTTCAACAGGCTAAATTCTTGTAAATTAAACATTACCTTCACTTGAATACCAAACCACAAGTTTGTATGAAACTCATTTTCTTATTTTTTAGCACACTGTAAAAGAGTTCATTTTGCATTCAGCAAAAAAATTGAAGAAATCAGGCCAAAATGAAATTTATGTGGAACTCTGTAGCACATACATTTAACCTCAAGATTTATGAAGAAGATTCAGAGCTTGATCAAATTCCAACACATTGTGTTATCTGAGGTAAAGGCTTTGCTCTAGCAAGATAACAAAGGCAAACATTCAAAGTGTTCCACATTAGGGGCTGTGCCACGTTATGGTACATTAACAACATCCCATGAAGAAACTTACCAATGCATGACGGAGCTGTTCCAGACCAACTGTCCTGACAAGTACGTTCTTGTGAGTCCCCTGGTTGGAATCCAAAGCCGTCATTGCAGTAGTACGTACAAACACTGTTGTATTTGTTTGAATTAGAACAGCTGTACCCTCCATTGGAAATATCAGGCAAAGAAGTGCAAGTCTTCACTGTACACCAAAATTAATGATAAAGGAAGAAGCCATTTTAGAACCAATTCAAATGTTCAATTTTCGTCCGGCTGGAGCAATGACATCATAAAATGTAATCGAAGTAACCGAAACAACCAATGGTTAAGATATTTAGGTCCCTCACTACACAACACATGATATACTGTTATTGCGGTTGATTTAGCTGTTTTGCGCCGAAATAGTTGCTGCCCCAAGCTCCCCTAACCAACTCCCCAGGGAGCTGAGATGGTATAGGGTACCGAAGTGAATACGTCACGTGGTTTCTAGGTTCACAGTGATGTGACAACTTCGGTACTCTATTTGGAATGTTTCATGGGCCCAGTGAGCAGGGATTAATAATGGAATATGGCACTTCCATCCATGCTTAAGAAGCTTTATAAACACCTGTATTGTTATTATTATTATAAGTCAAACTAGAATGTAGAGTAGTCCTCACTAAAGTTGAATGATCAGTGATACATTGTCATTTCTAAAGTTGCACATAAACAATCTTCCAGTTGACAAGTAGAAACAAAGAATTTTGCAATTTCTGCTCAAGATTTAAGGAAAGATTCAGTATGCAGGCAGGTGTTAAGGCCAGTTCAGACTTCAAATGAAAGCGAAAACAAATGCAAATTTGTGACGTCAGATGAAATATGCATTTTACAAATTTGTCAAAGATTAACACACTTCAACTCAAGGCGAACTTTTGCTGGGAACCATTTGTGAAGTCAAATTCGCTTCACTTTCGCATTTGTCTGAATATGAACCGGACTTTACCTGGTTAAAAAGAACAACAAGCGAGATCAAGGGGCATTTGTTTAAAAAGACAAGACAGTAATGGGCACTTTAGTTTTGTGCACAAATAATTCAGTTTAACCTTTCAGCATCACATTCAAATTTATTTAAGGATTACTACAGACAATTTGTTATTTCCAATTACATATTTCCCAAAATAGTCATATCCTCCCTCCCCGGTCCCCGAAAAATAAACTGTCAGGGTAAGCTGTTGGGAAACACAAAGCAAACGTGTAACTAATTTTTTTTAAACCTGATCTGATAATCCCAGACTGTGGATACTCATCCAGACTTATCCTCCTTTATAAATTTTGATCAGTCTCCTCAGTTTTGTGACCAAGTGGGACTTCAAATTAAGCTGGAAACAGGCTAATGACAAAGGGATATGGCAAATCTCCTCATGTCATGAGCCTAGATAATGCTGGGGACTTCCAGCGATAGAAAAAATAAGACGTTTAAGAGAATGCATTGCCCCAAGCACGAAGAGGCCAGGACAGGTTTTCTTTCTGACCCACCTTGACATGTAGGGCTTGGTGTAGACCAGGAGAGGTCATGTTTGCAGAGTGATGTAGATGACCCGACTACATCGTATCCTGTAGGACAGTGGAATGTACAGAACGAGCCAGCAATGTTGTCCTTACTGCATGAATGCCAGCGCAAGTACTCTGCTTGAATGCCAGGACAGCGCAGAACTGCAGACCATTGTGAAAAAGTAATGTATATTTAAAGTAATGAACAGGAATTCCTAAAATCTTAAAGGATTTCCATAAAGGAAACACCTACGATTACCTACATGTACATTTACATATAAGCATAGTTTGAGTATCTTGTCCTCTAAGAATTGCCTTGTCAACTCTTAGATGTGGTCAGGCAATAAGTCCAAGTTACTTGGATTAAAATCAGTGTGCATTTGCGTGTGCTCAAACCTGCTGAAAAAGTCAGCCAAGGCACATCTTCTATGTCCACTGCATTTCCCCCACATTCTATAACTCTCAAAGGGTTGTGTAACACAAAAACTCATTCAAAGTTTATTTTGCCACGGTTTTTAGTTTTGCAAAATATAAAAAAAATCTGGTGCAACATATTGAATCCCTAAATAATGAATATGTTATTACTAAATAGTTACGAAATATGTCTCCTGTATTGAGCGTAATTAAACAAAGGTGGGTTTGAGGCAATGTAATTTGCAAAATACTTTTACAAACCTGGCTTGCCGATATGAAAAGGGCGGTCCATTTTGTAAACAAAAGCAAGGTCTTCAAGTGAAGTATGTGTAATACATGAACATGTATCTTGGAATCCACATAAAAGATGTCACAATTTTGAATTACCAATGCCTACCTGTAACTGTGACATAGAACTCGCAGTGTGCACGTTGATTAGCTGAGTCTACAGCTTCATACAATATGCGGTTCCTTCCACTGGGGAATTTACTTCCAGAAGACAGCCCTTCAATCCTCCTGCAAAGTTCAATAGCCATGCGGTCAATCTTACCGTGCATGAGTACCTTAAATTCATGCAATACTTTGTAGACTTTAAGTACATGCTATTACTTCTTCTTCCAGCTAGGTGGTGCGCCAACCTGAAGACTCAGGCACATTAACGGATAGACAGTTCATGGATAGAGTGCATTATAGAAGGAATAGCCTACTGGTTTACCAACATTAACAGTAAGTTTGAACAAATTGAACCAACCCCAAGTGAAAATATTCAAGCTAGACTGTATAGACAACAGGTGTGAAAATGAATTGAAAACAAAAACAATCAAATATACACCAAAACTGGCTAGTGATTTCAAATGGGTTATATAATTAATTTGGACCAGAAATGCACAGTATGAGCCCCACATTCTGTGCACAAACAATGTGTGACGTTAATTTATATAATGGGTTTTGCCCTTATCCAACGTATATATTCGTAAACACTGTATGCTCAGTTCTTGTCCGAGAGCTTGCGAAAAATGTCACAGCTGCTTCACCTGACTATGACTCAGATCGGCGTGACGTGCTGCAATCCAGTCTTAGATCATCGCTGAATGTGCCCGGCAAAAATTACCCCAAGAACGAGACATTGGACCCCACAGTTCTCAGGTAGGAAAAAACCACCACTAGGCCTATACGGTATACCTGATATCACCACTGGACCGGGTTACTCTATAATCGCAACACCCATCACATTTCTCGCTCGAAATGAAGATTGCTCGCTCACCTTCCTGAATTATCCTATCCTTGCTATTGTATGACTCTTATTTGTTAATTTGATTCATAAAATTTTGTTGTGATTCATCAATTCACCCTCAATGACAGCTCAGAAAATCTATGTGCGCGCCAATAACCCAACTACTACAGTGTGGCTCGGACTCTCACTCCCGATCGTCCGTGGCACCTAGTAGGGCTTGTGTGCGCGCCATGCAAGTGGAGGTACTAGGTACTAGGTGGAGTCTATTATCGCGGTTCAAGAAATAGTTTCTACGAAGGCCTTTAAAGCACTTTGTTTTGAATAAATAAAAATAAAAAGAATGATTTTGTTTTTAGAGGAAACAAAAGTAGCCTCAGTTTGTGATAATGTTCCATTTTACCCGTAATTGACTCCATCTTTACAGTCTCCTTATAGATGCCAAACGCCGAGAGAACGAGATGGGATGATCAACTTCACTTTTTCTACCAGGTAAACAAGGTGTGACTAAACAAGACACTGTTAATTCCATCAGAAGGCAAAGTTGCCCACTCACAAGGGAATCTAACAAATAAGGCATGGAACAAAGCATTTGTGCTGCAGTAATGATGCGCGAAAACGACTTGATCCATGTGCCGCTTGTTAACCCAGACAAAATTGTCTATGTCAATATCAAATCTATTATAAAAACATTTAATGATAAAAGTGACGGATAAAAAACGAAATCTGTGAATAAGATACGGCAGTCCAAGTCTGGTGCATCAGAGAGGTACTCAATGTTGACAACCTTGGAATTAGTGAAATGTCTCCGGGAGAGGCCCAAACATGATCTAGTAAATCTCCTTTGTACTCCCTCCAAGATGGTTTGTTGAGAGAGAGAGTACTTGGGCACCAGACTGGGACTGCGTACTCCATAATAGGACGAACAATTGCACAATACAGTTTAACAAGAAGTTGTCTTTACAACTTACAATGAACCCGCACATTCTGTTGGCTTTAGAAACATGCTTATTCCAAGAAAGATCTTTGGAAAGATAAACGCCCAGATATTTGTGGTGATCGACAATTTCAAGGCTATGAGAACCTATATTGTATGATGATTCAGGTGGGTTTCTTGAACGGGTAGGCCCCTAATGGTCGTCAATTTGCATTTATCAACATTAAGATGCATTTTGTTGAGATTACACCATATGTCAATCTGGCCCAGGTCTGACTGCAAGATACACTCATCATCCACACTAGTGATAACTCTATAAATGACAGTGTCGTCAACATATTGTCTAAGACTGGACTTGATACAGAAAGGCAGGTCAAAGGCAAAAATATTAAGGGTAATGGTCCCAAAACCGAACCTTGTGGGACGCCACTGCAGATGGGATGAAGCCCATTTAGAACGTGCCCCACAAAATAGTAGACGTTATTGGCGGCCAGAAAGGTATGATTCAAACCAGTGCAAGGCTGAACCGCAAATGCCATATTTATGTAACTTTTGGAGGAGAACACTGTGACTCAACCGATCAAACGCTTTCGACCAATCCAAAAAGATGGCGTTAATGCGAGGGGGATTCACAGCGTCCAAAGTAACAGCCCATTTATGATATAAAGTAGTGAGTTGGGTAACGCAAGACCTTTTAGGGAGGAAGCCATGCTGGCAGTCAGATACAATACCGCTCATTAGACCTGAACTATTTTATTCAACCTTTTTGTCATAAATTCTAAATATCCGTTGCAAATTCTTCAAATCATATCAGAAAAGAAAAGAAACAGCGTCAATAATGCCAACGTAATTATTTGCAAATTGCCCTGGGCGCAAAGGATAAAAGTACGATTAATTCAAGTCTTTATGCACTAAAAAAGGTTTTTCAGCGCTGAAGCCCTTATTCTGACTTGGCAAATTGCATCTTTTATTAAAAATTATCAAAACTTACGGAAAAATGCTGAATTTTTTACTCTGTTTTAATAAAACGCGTTGTCGAGTGGCATCCGTATATGGAACTCTTTCCAAACTTTGAAATATACGCACGGGAGCAGAAAATACCTACTCAAAAAGAGAAATTGGAAATCTAGTTCAGTGAAAAAAAATTAGTGAAGTACATGTATCTAGGAGTTTTGAGTTATGATTTCATCCTTCAAAGTTCCCACCAACTTCATGCATGTCATGTCACGTTGTGGGGTCACTAGATGTCTCAATGGAGTTCTCGTACTCTTAGTATAGTTTACTGTTAAGGCCATATTACGCAGCGCGGTGAGTGCTGTTTCACAGCGTTTGAGTGTCGTTACACAGCGCGTTTAGTGTTGTTACACAGCGCGGTAATTTGCGTTGTTGCACAGCGTGGTAGGTGGTTTTTTCTCAGCACGTTGAGGTTTTGCTGCGTGATAAAAGCACTGACGTATAATAAAAAAAATGGACTTGCAAAGGCTTTGTATGAAACAAAAGCCAACCACGGACGTGTATAATAAAATCTGGACTCGCAATGCCCTTAATCAGCTTATAGAGTCATTGAATCCACTCGCGGCCATCTTACCGAGCCGAATACAAAGCTTTCCTGGTAATGCCCGCCTTTGTTCTTCCTGACGTCAACAGAAGGGAACCAACCCAGACATTTGTATTCGGCTCGGTAAAATGGCCGCTGGTTGGCTTCTTTTTCATACAAAGGCGTTGCAACTCCAGGTTTTTTATATACGTTCCTGAAGCCAACCAGCAAGCAGAAGCCAAGCAGCCTCTAAATGCGTGGCTCGCTTGCCACTACACTTTGATGTATACCCGTTAACGCCAGGGAGAACAAGGGCGGACATTGCCGGGCAAGCTTTGTATTCGGCTCGGTAAAATGGCCGCTGGTGGATTCAATGATCTCTATAAGCTAATTAAGGGCATTGCTAGTCCAGATTTATGACAGGCCTACGTCCGTGGTCCGGCGGGGAAGTTGCTAATTTACGCTGGCTGCACGATGAGAGTGTTTGGCACTGCGCGATGAGAGTTGCTTGGCGGCGCGAAGAGAGTTGTTTGGCGGAGTGATAAGCGTTGTTTCACAGTGCAATGAGAGTTGTTAGGCACTGCGCGATGAGAGATGTTAGGCACTGCGCGATGAGAGTTGTTAGGCACTGCGCGATGAGAGATGTTAGGCACTGGGGGATGAGACTTGTTAGGCACTGCGCGACGAGAGTTGCTTGGCGGAGCGATAAGCGTTGTTTTACAGTGCAATGAGAGTTGTTAGGCACTGCGCGATGAGAGATGTTAGGCACTGCGCGATGAGAGATGTTAGGCACC